CTCCACTTATCCATCCTATCCTAAATCTATATATTTTTTTAATTATAGTGTCAGAAATACAAAAATGTATTCCTGTCACTATAGTTGTAAAATTGCTGTTTAGGTTCTGAACCCCTCCCCACCCCGTTAGTTATTTTACTTATATTATTTCCTGCACCGCACCGATCACAGCCAATTCAATGCTTTTTCATAGGAAAGCATTGGGAGGGTATTGCGCATGCGCAGCAAATGCAGCGCTGCGCCAATCTTAGAGATGCATTGAATCGGTGCAACTCTATAGGGAGCGGTCAACGCTTCCACGCAGTGTTTGGAGACACTAAGCGTTAGTGCTGCACACTGTGCATCACTGACAGTGCTGCACACTGTGCATCAGTGGTCATCTGAGTGACTGCCACTCCAGCTGTTACTAGGCTGTAATGCATAGTTGCCAACAGTCCAATTTTTGCCGGGACAGTCCCAGCAAGTTGGAGACTGTTCTGGGTAATTCACTCTACCGGGACAGTCCCGGCAAGAAGGACTGGTGGGCCATAACAGGGGTCCTGCTGCAAGGTACAGAGAAGCCCTGTTTACTGCACAGAGCAGCATGCTGCCCATAGGACAGGCAGCATCCATATATTTTGTATTTGGAGACAATACCGTCCTCTGTACAGCCCAAGCTCCTCATAGGAAAGCAAAGAGCTGTTTGCTATACACACAGCATGGTTAGACTAGTCACTTCATACTTAGCCAATCACAGGCTCCCTTACATAGTATTAACACGTACACGATGGCTGATGCAGAGAGTACCACCTGTTCTGCTGTGAGAAAGCATGCTGCCCTGGAAGTGACTAACCTGCCAGAGGAACTTCTAGGTAGGTACCTCAGCCCCTGCCCATAATCCCTCTGTCTTTTACCCTCTCTCCCTCATTCTGAGCTGTATATTAGTGCACTGCTAAATCTACTACCCACATTTGCAGTCCATCATTTAGGTACCCTTACCCACTGCCCATTTTATATTCCCAACTGAACATTTTGTTACCTTGGTATCCAATTTCTCTCTGTGACTCTTTGCTCACACTCTACAACTGCTTTTTTTAGAATTAATCCCTACATTCTTGCAGCCATAGAGGGATAAGTAATGTAAAAACACATTATGGCACAGGCGCTTGGTGTAACTGTACTTATTTTTATTGTGGTATTTACTCTTCCGTGGACATTATTTCTTACTTTCTACTACATTTTAAAGAAGTTGCTCTCCTAGAAATTCCATCAGATTCTTCAGAAGCCACTTGCAATCAGGGCATTGAAAGTTTTTCTTTTAAATTTGTTTTTGTCACACTTTATGTAATAATAGTATTTCTGCTTCTTTACAGATATTTCAGATGCTATCTGATATTGCAATGAACATTTTTACCTCACTAATATTTTTGTAAATTGTGAATCAAAAATATGGAAGGTTAAATTTGGGTAAGTTTAGTTTTTTTTTTTCAAATAAATAATTTTTAAATATCTCTGAACAACAATTTACACCAAAAAACACTTTTTATTTTAAATTTCTGTGAGCATATTGAGTGTACAGTACACTCAGGCCAACCTTAGGCCTTTGAGCGCCCCGTGCGTAAAATCCCCCCTTTTCCCCCCTTTCCCCCTTTTCCTCCCTTCCCACACACTGTCACACACACACGCAGACACAGACATAGAAACATAGAATGTGACAACAGATAAGAACCATTCGGCCCATCTAGTCTGCCCAGGCAGTCACACACACAGAGGCAGACAGCCACACACAGACAGCCACACACAAACACACAGGCAGAGAGCCACACACAGACAGCCACACACAGGCAGACAACCACACACAAACACACACGCAGACAGCCACACACAAACACAGAGGCAGACAGCCACACGCAAACACACACGCAGACAGCCACATACAGACAGCCAGACACAAACACATAGGCAGACAGCCACACACAGACAGCCACACACAAACACACAGGCAGACAGCCAAACACAGACAGCCACACATAAACACACAGGCAGACAGCCACACACAAACACACACGCAGACAGCCACATACACACACACACACACACAAACACACACATACAGGCTGAAAGCCACACGCAAACACAGAGACAGACAGCCACACACAAACACACACGCAGACAGCCACACACACACACACACACACACACAGGCAGACATAGAAACATAGAATGTGACGGCATATAAGAACCATTCGGCCCATCTAGTCTGCCCAGACAGTCACACATAGGCAGTCACACACACACATAGGCAGTCACACACACACAGGCAGACAGTCACACACACACAGGCAGATAGTCTCACACACAGACAGACAGTCATACACACGGACACAGTCATACACACAGACACAGTCAGACACAGACAGTCACACACACAGGCAGACAATCATACACACAGGCAGACAGTCAAACAGAGACAGTCACACACACAGGCAGACAGTCACACACACAAGCAGTCAAACACACAGACAGTCACACACCCACACACACACAAAAAAGGGCAGACAGCCACACACACACACACACACACACACACACACAGGCAGACAGTCAAACACACAGACAGTCACACACACAGGCAGACAATCACACATAGTTACCTCTGTTCCTTGTGGAGGCAGACAGGCAGTGCAGCTCCTGGATTCTGGTTCCTGGGGGAAGCCGGGACTCCTTCCTCCTTCCCCTGCAGCAGTTACACGGCACTTTTAGCTCCGTTCCCGCCGCACGGTAAGCCCCGCCCTGCCGCAATTTTTTTTTTTTTTAAATGTAATCTTGGTCGGCCATGTGTGAGCTGTGTCGGCTGCACGGCGCCCCCTGCTTCCTAGATTCTGGTTCCTGAGGGAAGCCGGGACTCCTTCCTCCTTCCCCTGCAGCAGTTACATGGCACTTTTAGCTCCGTTCCCGCCACACGATAAGCCCCGCCCTGCCGCAATTGTTTTTTTTTTTAAATGTAATCTTGGCCGGCCATGTGTGAGCTGTGTCGGCTGCACGGCGCCCCCTGCTTCTTGGCTCCCTGTGCACACCTCGCACACCCCTAAGGCCGGTCCTGAGTACACTATAGTTTGCCATTTTGCTGGGAGACAGAGGTGGGGCACTTTTTTATTCATTTTTATAGGATGCTTTATGCTTCTAGTGTCTTACAAATATTTGAATAGATAATGGAAATGTAAAGCTTCCTTATTGTAATGTATCCGGTTGAGAGGTGTACTTACGGTGCCTGGGAATACTCTTTTTTTTTTTTTACAAAAGCCAGAGGGACTGCACCAGTAGGCTCCTAACACTATTATCGCTATAGTACGCTATATACAGGTGATATTCGAAAAATTTGAATATCGTGCAAAAGTTAATTTATTTCAGTAATGCAACGTAAAAGGGGATACTAATAAATGAGATAGACGCATTACATGCAAAGCAAGATAGTTCAACTGTGTCATAAGTGCCATGATTATGGCTTACAGCTCATGAAAACCCCAAATCCACAATCTCAGTATATCAGAATATTGTGAAAAGGTGCAATATTCTAGGCTCACAGTGTCGCACTCTAATCATTTGCATCTCATTTGGAAACCAAGGACCCAGAGTCTGGAGAAAGAATGGAGAGGCACACACTGCTAGATGTTTGAAGTCCAGTGTGAAGTTTTCACAGTCTGTGTTGATTTGGGGAGCCATGTCATCTGCTGCTGTTGGTCCACTATGCTTCATTAAGTCCAGGGTCAACACAGCCGTCTACCAGGAGATTTTGCAGCACTTCATGCTTCCTTTCACAGACGGGCTTTATGGGGATGCTGACTTCATTTTCCAGCAGGACTTGGCACCTGCCCACACTGCCAAAAGCACCAAAACCTGGTTCAATGACCGTGGGATTACTGTGCTTGATTGGCCAGCAAACTCGTCTGACCTGAACCGCATAGATAAGAATCTATGGTGCATTGCCAAGAGAAAGATGAGAGATATGAGACCGAACAGTGCAGAAGAGCTGAAAGCTGCTATTGAAGCATCCTGGTCTTCCATAACACCTCAGCAGTGCCACAGGCTGATAGCTTCCATGCCACGCCTCATTGAGGCAGTAATTGCTGCAAAAGGGGGCCCAAACCAAGTACTGAGGCCATATGCATGCTTATACTTTTCAGAGGTCCGATATTGTTCTATGTACACTCCTTGTTTTATTGATTGCATGTAATATTTTAATTTACTGAGATTGTGGATTTGGGGTTTTCATGAGCTGTAAGCCATAATCATCGCACTTATGACAAATCACGGCTTGAACTATCTTGCTTTGCATGTAATGCGTCTATCTCATATATTAGTTTCCCCTTTTTACGTTGCATTACTGAAATAAATGAACTTTTGCACGATATTCTCATTTTTTGCACGATATTCTCATCACCTGTAGCTTTCCAAGTTGTTTTTTTTCTTCACATTTCTATTCTGGTATACTTATTTATCCCTGGTCTTTACCCCACTCTCATTCAAAAATTAATTCATTACCCTGTTTGTCTTCAGATTGCGTTATTTATACATTCCATTTTCTCTCTGTCCCATTTTTGCTTTTCATGATACTCTATTCAGTCATAAACGACACTTTTAAATTGATTGAAGTATTGATTTAAAAAAAAAAAAGAAGTAGGGGTCCTACTGCTATCCTTTATTTGGGGTTATGAGTATGATGTGTTGTACTCTGCCAGCAGTATCTTGGGGTCTACGTCAACAACTCTGACATTGACATTAGAATTAATACCAGATTAGGAGAATATGGTTAGTACCACGTTAATGGGACTGCAATGCTGATTAATAACACAAATTCACTTATCTAAATCTTCTGAAATAACATGACTATTATTAGTGTAACATTGAAAATACCCCAAATAACTTTCTTATTCTATTACAAGATTTGTTAATATTGTTTATCTGAATAAAGTTTTTTTTTTTAAACATTGACGGAAGTACGCAGTGCGTACCACTTTGCCTCATGCCCCCCGGAAGTAGAGGTGCAGGAAGCACGTGGTTGTATGGGATTGAGGTGTCCATGTAACGTAGAGTGTCGGACCGGTGGTTATAGCTTGTAGAGTTCTCTTTTAACATGAAGTCCGAAGTCTCGTTGCTGGCGCTGATTCACCAGCATCTCCTGCAGGCTGGGTTCAGCAAGGCAGCCAGGGAGCTGCAGGCACAGAGTGGGGAGGTAAAATACACTGTATAGAAAACATGCATGACTACACCTCCATATAGGTTCCCATGTGCGATGAAGGAGTGGACACACAGTTTTAGTGGAGGGTTCTGCAGACCAGTCGAACACAGTAGATGCTGTTACTGTCACTGTATTCCCAACTTACGTAGAAAAGCAGTGTGCATATTGAATGGCAATGGCCCATTAATTTGTAGACAGGTTAACTCCCACAATTCCTTTTTTTTTTTTTTTTTTAACATTGCATTCATTGTGTTTTACTAAGGCGTTGTAACATTCTACAAGTAAAAGGCTTGGTGATGCATTCCCCTTTTAAAATATGTGAACGGTTTAGTTTTAAAGAAACAGGAGGTGGTGAGTGTCCAGATGAATTTACAGAGCTCACTTCTTTATCATGCGTTCCCCTTTAAGGGGAAATATATATTAATATTTATAGGAACAACAACCTTTTAAAGTGCAATTATCACGAAATTTGATTTTTTTTTTGCAAATAAATAAATATGTATATGTAAAGCAAGAGGGCTGCACTCGCCTGAACATGCACACTTGTTAGGGTGCCACTACATGACATACATACACATATATATACATACACAATCTAACACACTCATTCACTAAACAGCAATTTCAGCTCTCACAGAATGTAATTTTATTTAAAAACACCTCATCTAGGCAAAAAACATTGGGGAGTACAGTATATGATTGCACAAGCCTGCCACAACTCCAATGTATCCCATTTTTGGCAGGTCCTACTCTAGTAACTTGATGCTGGCTCTTATAAGATTAATCAACATACTTGGAAAATGCTTCCTCCTGGGACTTTTTGCAGGCATTAGATTGTTGGAGTAGGACCTGCCAAGAATGGGGTACATTAAAGGACCAATATAGGCACCCAGACCACTTCAGCTTACAGAAGTGGTCTGGGTGCCAGGTCCCGCTAGGATTAACCCTTTCTGCTGTAAACATAGCAGTTTCAGAGAAACTGTTTACAGATGGGTTAATCCAGCCTCTAGTGGCTGTCTCATTGATTTTCACAGTGAGAAGACGCTGCCGTCCATAGGAAAGCATTGAGAAAGCTTTTCTATGAGACTGGCTAAATGCGCCCGCGGCTATTGCCGCACATGCGCATTCAGCCGATGACGGCAGAAGAAGGAGATTCCCAAGTCGAGGGAGCCCAGCGCTGGAAAAAGGTAAGATTTTAACCCCTTCCTCACCCTAGAGCCCGAGTATGTTTTCCTGGCACTATAGTGGTCCTTTAACAATGTGGCAGGCTTATGCAATGTATGGTCATATACTGTAACTAACCCCGCCCTCCTCCCCCATTATTTTTGCCTAGATGATGTGTTTTGAAATAAAATTACATTCTGAGACTTGAAATTACTGTTTAATGAATGAGTGTGTGTGTTAGATTTTCTGTGTGTGTACATATGTATGTCATGTTGAAAAGAGAGTACACCCTCTTTGAATCCTGTTGTTTTCCATTTTAGAACATAAAAATCATTAGTTCCTTAGCAGGTTTTAAAATTGGGTAAATACAACCTCTGATGAACAACAACACATGACATGTTACACAGTGTCATGATTTATTTAGCAAAACTAAGATGAACAAGAGCCAAGAAGGAGAAGAAATGTGCGATATACGAAGTACACCTTATGATTCAGGAGCTTGTAGAACCACCTTTAGCAGCAATAACTTAAAGTAATAGTTTTCTGTATGACTTTATCAGTCTCTCACATCGTTGTGGGTGAATTTTGTTCCACTTTTTACAAGATTGCTTCAGTTCATTGAGGTTTGCTGGTATTTGTTTATGCACAGCTCTCTTAAGGTCCCATCACCATTTCAATTTGCTTTAAAGGACCACTCTAGGCACCCAGACCACTTCAGCTTAATGAAGTGGTCTGGGTGCCAGGTCCTTCTAGGGTTAACCCATTTTTTCATAATTATAGCGGTTTCAGAGAAACTGCTATAATTATGAATGGGTTAAGCCTTCCCCCAAAGCCTCTAGTGGCTGTCTCATTGACAGCCACTAGAGGCGCTTGCGTGCTTCTCACTGTGATTTTCACGGTGAGAGCACGCCAGCGTCCATAGGAAAGCATTGTAAATGCTTTCCTATGAGACCGGCTGAATGCGCGCGCAGCTCTTGCCGCGCGTGCGCATTCAGCCGGCGGGGCGTAACGGAGGCGGAGAGGAGGAGGAGAGCTCTCCGCCCAGCGCTGGAAAAAGGTAAGTTTTTACCCCTTTCCCCCTTCCAGAGCCGGGCAGGAGGGGGACCCTGAGGGTGGGGGCACCCTCAGGGCACTATAGTGCCAGGAAAACGAGTATGTTTTCCTGGCACTATAGTGGTCCTTTAAGTCTTGAATTTGTCTGGGCCATTAAAACTCCTTGATTCTTTTCCTTTTTTTTTCCAGCCATTTGTTGTAGATTTGCAGCTTAATGTAGTGGTTCTGGTGTCTATATCCTGCCCCTACATCCTTTTCAATGTCAACACTGCCTAGTAACACCTCTAGCGACAGTCGTTCAGATGACCATCATAGGTGATATTCCTAGTCCAGTGCTGCACAGTGTGCAGCATCTACATTCAATGTCTCCACACTCTGCATTGAGGCGCTAAATGTTCTCCATAGAGACACTGGCACAGGCTGACACATTGTGCGCACAGACTCTAGACGCTCACTTGCAGGTAGACACACACTTGTGCACACACACAGGTAGACGTGATCGCATTAACATTAACACACATTTTCTTATTAACTTACTACTGTTTTTTTTAAATTTAAGTCCACCCAGCCTCCCTACCTTTGGGAGAGCTGGAGTGGATAACATCCTTTGTATTGCTGTAATCTTCAAATCATTCTAGCTCTTCCCCCTCGTGTGCTGTTTAGTGATGCTGTGGTCAGAGTGCCATCATATTCAGTCACCCGGCATCACTGCAGAACGCACAAGGGAGCAGAGCAAAAGCTACAGGAAGTTTTTTTGTTTTTTTCTCCCCCGAGCCGCCGACCTGCCTCCATGCTCTCTCGGAGCCGCCAGAAGTGCTTTCTTTTGGGGTGTGGATTGGTCCTTTGATTCCTATGAAAGTAGTAAGAGTTTTTTCACACATGGTTACTCCATTTCGACTTTAGTTTTGCTAAATTATGACACTGTGTAAAATGTCATGTTTTTCATCTGAGGTTGTATTTACCTTTTTTAATACCTGGTAAGGAACAGATGATTATTTCCTGATATATAAAAGCATAGAATTCAGATAAGGTGTACTTTCTTTTTCTCATAACTGTAGATACTCAAACAGCACAGGAGAATTTATTTTGCTTCTGTTTGCTCCATGGAGCTAATGTCCACCTTCCTATACCCTTTCTTTGTGAACAGTACTACCGCTTATTGAGAAGCATTGGAAATCTGCAATTGTGAGGGTGCTCACAGCTCCATCAGAGAGACCTCTCTGGTCAATTCCCTGGCACAAACTTTTGTTAGCTGTTTTTTCACGTGCCCTCAAAGATAACATGCAGAAAAAATATTCATGTTTTCTTTTGGAGTAAATCTTTAAAATGGTCAGAAGTACAAAACAATGGAATCTTCTTCTTTTAATCCTTCTTACTTTATGCGGCATGAGTACAAAAACTAGGACAAGACCTTTTAATCTGGAGAGAGTCTGAATATTGCGCACAAGCACGACCATCTGCTCAGCAGATTGATGTGCATAGCCTGGTCCACAAAAATGTAAACAGGGGATGTATTTACATGGTAGCATGTGCATTATGACTGCTTTTTTTATGCAGACCTACTCATCATGATGATTTAAAATTTATCTGAGGCTAATCCACTACAGAACACTCATTGGCTGACACTCTGAGCCAATAAACCAGCCCTGCTCTGCATGGCCCAACTTGCGAGAGCCTGTGACGAGGAAAGCTGCCAGTCACCACATAGAAATATAGAATGTGACGGCAGATTAGTCATTCGACCCATCTAGGCTGACCAATTTTCTTAATACTTTAATTAGTCTCTTAAATCTAGGATAGACTTATGCCTATCTCATGCATGCTTAAATGTTCTCACTGTTAACCTCTACCACCTCAGCTGGAAGGCTATTCCATGCATCCACTACCCTCTCAGTAAAGTATTACTTCCTGATATTATTTTTAAACCTTTGCCCTCTAATTTAAGACTGTCCTCTTGTTGTGGTAGTTTGTCTTTTAAATATACTCTCCTCCTTAACTTTATATTTATGTTTCTATCGTATCATATTCTCTGGAAGTGCAATGATTTACATTGCAGGACTAAAGGGTACTTGGATATTGCACCCAAACCACTTCAGAGAGCTAAAGTGGTCTGTGGGCCTATTGTGTCCCTTTACATTAGCACTATAAGCACCACAGCAACTTTAGTTTTATGAAGTAGTATTGGTGTATAGATTATGCCTTTGCAGTGTAACTGCTGAATTCTCAACTGTTTACGAATTAAATCCCTTTATGTATGCTTTCATAGTCACACCTAATCTACAGTCACCCTTTTCCTGTAACAAGCTATAAAATTGAAACTTTTTATTGCACAGTCTGTTTAATTTAGAATTTACTATGTTATGGTCGGTTAATAGCCTGCTAGAAACTGCAGGAGTCTCTGATTAAAGTTCAATTAACAAAGCAGAAGATAAGAGAAACTTCTAAAGTGCTCGGAAAACATAAAGGCACTCATTAGACAGCTTAATGTAGTTGTTCTGGTGAGTATAATAGCTCCCTTCAGGCATTTGCCCCTAGGGATACCTCCAAGTGGCAACTCCTCAGATGGCCACTGAAGGGGCTTCCTGGCTCAGGTCTGTACAGTAAGCAGCCCTGCCGTTCAGCGTCCCCGAATTTTCCTCATAGAGATGCATAGATTTAATGCATCTCTGAAGGTGATTGGCCAAAGCAGTGTTTGACCCCGCCCCCACTGCTGATTTTAGCCTATCCAAGCCACCTAAATGGGTTCACTATAGGGACAGGAATGCATGTTTGTGTTCCTGACCCTATAGTGATCCTTTAAAGAAAATGAAACCATTTTTTCCATGCAAGCTGTGTGAGTCACAGCCAAGGGAGATTTGGCTAATGCTGCTTAAACAGAAACAAAAGGGATTTAACTCCTAAATGGCAGGGAGACTGCAGGTGCATGATCTGTACACCAAAACGGCTTAATTACGCAAGTGTTTTTGGGGAGTAGAGTATTCCTTTAAATGGACACTATAATCACCAAAACAACCACAGCTTAACTTAGTGGTTCTGGTGTCTATAGCCTGTCCCCGAAGGCTGAAGACACTGAATGGCAGCAATGCACACTGTGCAGCGCAGCCCCAGGAAGCACCTCTAGTAGCCATCTAAGGAATGGCCAGTGGAGGTATCCCTAGGCTGTAATGTAAACAATGTCTTTTCAGGCTTTTTATTTACTGTAAAAAGCCTTAAGGGAATGATTATGCTCCCCAGAACAAATACAATAATCCGTAGTTGTTCTGGTGACTATAGTGTCACTTTAATGTAAACAATGCCTTTTCCAAGATACATCTTTGTATTCCTAACACTAAAGTTTTCCCTTAATGAAAAATACTGACTCCTTTCTCTAGCAGTATTAAAACATGCTGTTTTACAAATACTACAGTCTTCAACATTTTGCCTAAAACATGCCTCAAGTAGCTGCCAGTAAGTAAGCCACTAAAGGCATTTACTCCTTCATGTTCGGTGTGATCATGCACACCATGATGGTGCCAAAAGCTTCTCTATGTAAGCATTGGATTGACAGACAATTGGCACACATGCTCTCTGATCCCTCAGTACTACACCATGAAGTGGATTGGATAGAAAGTATAACTTGGCCTTGTATAATTTCACTTTGGCACACTTAACACAAGAAATTGCTATTGAGTTGTCCTGTAAAAATGAACAAGCTATTCTATATTACCTAAAAATATATATATTTTTTCCCTCCATTCTCTAATTAGAAATTACTTTCATCAAGAGTCTCCCTTCAGGATATCTACCATGACTGGGCCAGGTAAGTGGTTGAGAAGAACTGGACATTTTGTGTATTTATTTAAAAAATTGTAATATCCATTTCTGGATTTCCTCTGACAAGCCCACACTGGCGTTATGTCAGACTAAATTAGATTGTGTTTAGATTGGACTGGATGGAACCCTCAAAACATAGGGAACAATTGTTTCAAAGATCTTGCAAAGGGCAAATTCTAGTTTGACATATAAAGTAGGGAGGGATAGGGTGCTACTGTTATCATTTGCTTTCCCAGTGGTTTTTTTTTCTTATTGTCATTCCTGACAGAAGTACTCTCTGTACGTTTGTTTTATTCTTTTAAATAGCTTTTAGCAGTGCAATATCTGGTTTTATAAACCAGACAACCGCTGTTTTTTATTGTATTCTGCTTAAATAAACATCTATTCACAACACTATAGTGCCCTAGTCCCTTGTTAGATTCAGTGCCCCCTTTTGCCATGTGAACAAATATTGGTGGTAAATAAAAAGGGTTTTAATTGACGCCCAGGGCCAAAACTCGCTCTATACTGCCGTTTGCTCCTTTTCCTGCAATGTCATTCAACAGTCATCACTTATTGTCTTCTTGTTCAATCCAGTGCGCCACATAGAGGAGCATTGAGGACAATATACTTGTTTGCCTGGCTGTTCAATCAAATGCTTCTCATAGGGAAATATTGCATTCAAGCAATACAATATTTTAGGTTGAAGAGTTAAAGGGACAGGGCCACTGTACCCAGACCACTTCTTTGAGATGAAGTGTTCGTGTCTTTAGTGGTCCTTCAAAATTTAATACAATGTTTTTGGGGGAAATTGTGATGTTTCAATTCAAAGTTGGTCTCTCATCAGAAATTTTAGAATATATAGTCTGCCCAATGATGCTGAATGTCCTTATCCCAAATCATACATTATTTTTCTTTGCAGATGTGATATAGCTTTTATTTGGCTGCTGGCATCCTATTCTATCATCATGCACAAAAATCCAAGGTGGAGTTAACCCTGGAAGTTAATTTTTGCAGTTTATTAAAAACTGCAATAATTATCACTGCAAGATTAAGGGTCTTGGGTCACTGCACGCAGACCGCTTAAAGGGACACTCCAGGCACCGAGACCACTTCAGCTCATTCAGCTCCCATGTCACGTAACCATTCAGTGGTAATTATAGCAGTTTCTGAGAAACTGCAATAATTACCTTGCAGGGTTAAGTCCCCCTCTAGTGGATGTCTACTAGACAGCCACTAGAGGGACTTCTGTGTGCTTAGACTACTTTTGGTCGTCTAAAGGACGCTGGACGTCCTCGCACTCTGCATGAGGATTTCCAGCGTCACCGGACTCCCCATAGAAAAGCATTGAATAATGCTTTCCTATGGGGAAATCCTAATGCGAGCGCTGCCATTAGGTTTCCCCCGCCGGCTGTCATCGGCAGGGTAGGAGCGTGAGCAGAACCTGACCCAGTGCCGAGGGACATCGGCGCTGGATTCAGGTGGGTGACTGAAGGGGTTTTCTCCCCTTCAGCGACATGGGAGTGGGGCACTGTAGGATTCTATAATGCCAGGAAAATGGGTTTGTTTTCCTGGCCTTAGAGAATCCCTTTTAAATGGGTTGAAGTGTTCTGGGTGCATATCGTGTCCCTTTAAATTGTAACACTTGGGCTTTAAAACATATATTTCCATTTTAGCATTACCACCTTTTTGTTTAAAAATTGTCAGACCTTCTATTGTTAATTACTGCTAAATTTACATCAGTATGGGAAGATGAAAACATATATTTTCAAATAAGCTTTCTGAAGAAAAGTTCAATAGAAATTTTTAACCAAATGTTAAGACTTCTCAAAAATGTATTGTCACTATTCGTACTATGTATTTGTATTAAAGAGCTACTGAATTATTAGTCTTCAGGGAACATACCTAGGAACGCTGAATATGTCTTCCCCCATGTTTATAGAAGAGTGATTATTACTGAGCAAAATGTGGTGTGATTAATCCAAAGACTATAAGGGTACCTTGTCAGCGAATGTTAGCTCTGAGTGAGCATAGGTAACGCCACTTTTATTCTCTACTTCTCACTTAGAGACCATTACTTTATTATGGTAATTAAAAAGAGCCACTTCATATAAAATACAAATTTTTGCACCACAATGTAAGGTGGCATGCACCTTTCTATAACCTATATAGTGATCTTTATACTATGCCAGTTAAAATTTCTTGCAAATGTATAAACGTTGTATTTTGTGTGGGTTGTTGGTTCTTGCTGAAATTTGCAGGCTCTCCCTCTGAAGGCCACTATATTATGCTTCTGAAAAAATAGCCAAATCAAACTCAGAGACCATGAGATTGGCACAGCATGGCGTCTTGCATCGCATGTGAACTAGCATCCCAATGCTTTCCTATGGGAAAACATTGGATTGGCTAAGATCATTGATTTTTGTAATCTCAGTTGAGAAGGCGGAGCTTCACTGTGGAGATTAGTGAGAGTTGACAGGTAAGTAAAACTCACCCCTTGAGCCATCGCGGCGGGGTTTATCTTTAATGTTCAGAATACATATCTGTATCCTAATGCTATATAGTATTCCTTTAAATTTCTTAAAAATGTTAAAATGTTTACTCTACTATGTAAGGCAATGTTTAATGAAGCAATGAAACACTTACATGTTTAACTATTTAAATGTTTAAACCTCTAGTAGGTTTAGCTGATTTGGTAATGGCGTATTGGGCACAAAGCTAGTACATATGTTATTACTCTTATAATTCTTGTCTGAAACATAGAAATCTAGAATGTGACAGCAGATAAGAACCATTCGGCCCATGTAGTCTGCTCAAATTTCTAACTACTTTAATTAGCACCTGGCCTTATCTAATATCTAGTATAGACTTATGCCTATCCCACACATGCTTAAACCCCTTCAATGTGTTAACCTCTACCACTTCAGCTGGAAGGCTATTCCATGCATCCACTACCCTCTCAGTAAAGTAATACTTCCTGCTATTATTTTTAAACCTTTGCCCCTCTAATTTAAGACTATGTCCTCTTGTTGTGGTAGTTTTTCTTCTTTTAAATATAGTCTCCTCCTTTACTGTGCTGATTCCCTTTATGTATTTAAATGTTTCTATCATATCCCCCCGTCTTGTCTTTTTTCTCCAAGCTATATTCTGCCATATTGCTTGTTTAAAAGTAACATTTTAAAATGTAATCATCTATTTTTTTTATTTTTTTTAAGCAAGATTTAAGCAGACCATTGAGCCCTAAGTTGACCCTGCTACAATTTGAACTGGCAGACTTGAGATCTGTACAGCCACCACAGTTAGAGCATTAACTAATGTGGCTTACTGCTGTAAAGGCAGAATTACAAATTCTGCGTATATGTAGACGTGTGAAGACCTGAAACAGGATTACCAGTGCAGAGTCACTTGTCATAACGCATGGTTTCATTGGAAGTGATGTTGGCGGGGCCACTGATTAAACATGTCAGTGAAGCACATCTCTAGTGAAGCACAGAATATAGGATTAGTTGATGCTGGCAAGCATTGATAAGCATTTCACCGCTCGAGGGGCAAATATCTGTCTGGATGAGAACATCAGGCCAGACGAAGCAGAAGAGAAGTCAGGATTATAGCCAGAGAGCAGATAGAAGAAGAGAAAACAAAATGTGCAGCACATGAGAAACCAATCTAGTAGTGAATTATCATATGCAAGTAGCCATATAATAAGAAAACAAACTAGTAGAAACAGGAAACCTAAATGTTCCCATGAACAAAATGTACTTTTCTCAACAGCCGTCCAGAAAATGCCAAGAAAAGGAAAGCTATCAAAGCAAATGAAGTTCCGAGCAAGAAACTAAGAGTTTCTGACCCCAAAAGCAGCTCAGAGCCATCTGAAGAAGAAGATAATGCAGTTCATGGTGAGTTTACTTGTCTAGTTTTGTTATTGTTATTTAGCAAGAGAACTTTACAATGAATTTACTAACGAATCGCCCAAATAAATTGCAACAAAGTAGTTGTGTAGAAACCAGAAACAAAAGGTGAGAAGGTCCCTGCCCAAACGAGCAGAGATGGTCAAAAGTGAGATCTTCTAATGCAGTAGAACTACAACTGCCAAGATACTTTGCCAGGTTTAAGAATGACACGGCATCATGGAAGTTGCAGTTTTACATCATCTGTGGATCTACCTTTTGTCCACCCTTTTTTTATTTTATTTATTTAAAGATTCCTCTATCTCACTTATAGAGTACATTTTTGTAAATTTGCAAACAGAATTACACACACAAAGACTCAACACTATATATTTTGTGTCATTAATATACTTATGCATGCTGTTATATTTATTTTTTCCTTAATGCTTAATACTTTTCTGAAGCATTGCTCACTGTGGGTTACCAATGGTAGGCTGAAAGTGTCAGATGACACGCTCATCCTATCACTGCTGTTCACACAGATGCTTCCACATTTGTTAGGACTCGGAGGAGAAGAAATCGGACTCTCAGCTCTAGGACACCACTTACATGTTAAACTGTTTGAAAGGGGTTTAATACTTTAAAGTAAGAAAGGGTCAGTGGACTCTGGGAACCATTCTCATTCTAACAAGCATTATATGCCATATAAGGCATATAAAATTGTGAACACCCTGATGTAAAGGATCACTCTACCGATCATCACAGCTTTGCATTATCACATCATTTTATAAAGGCTATGGCTCTAAGACAGTTCATGAATAGCATGTCATAGCATAACTGTTTTTTTCAGTTTATAGAACAGCTACAATGATAAAAACTTTATACACCAGGAATCTGAGGTAAAAGTCTTCCTGCTTAGAAAGGCAGATGTTTGCCTGTATAATCTGTAAAATATACATTCTGTATAATACATTAACAATAGAGTGAAAGTTATTTAAACCTTTCTAGTTTCCATTTAAGAGATTGTCATGTTTGACACTTTAACTGTTTCAGAATATTTCCACTTTAAAGAGCTAGGTTTAAACTGCTGCAATATGCTTCAAGACATTTGTGTTCAATGGAACTTTTTTTTTTTTTTTTTAAATTAGGAAGTCAGAAAAAAATGAAAATCCCTCCAAAGGTCACACAAGCAAAAGATAAAAAGAGTGCAGTGAAACTGACTGCCAAGGTAAATAAATGGTTTTCTCTTTCACGTGTTAGCTCCAACAGTTGATGCTTCTAATTTTAATGTATTTTATGGGATGACCTTTATGGTCATGAGAACTCCAGAACCAATATATGGGGTTTTTGTAACCTCAAACCTGTTAAAGGATATCGTCTCCGTGATCTTCTGTTCTTTTGCTTTATTCTTTCCATCTTCTGTACATTGGCGGTAGATTGCAATTGCAGGAAGTACATTTTTTTTTATCTGGAGTATCCATCTTGATTTACGGGATTTATTTTTTAACCCTTTACCTCCCAAATTCCAAACACTGAGTGAAGGTGTGAGCCACTCTTCTGGTTATTACCCCATTCACTTCCAAAATCATGCATACATGTTTGTACTTGCATTTACTTTGCAAATCAAAATGTAACCAATAAAGCGTTATTCAGCTTCATTTTTACTTTAGCAAATATCATCCGGCAGAGAAATGATTGAGGTCTCCCATTTCACTTTTAGCATTACATTAGCAGTCCAGAGATTAATAGACTGCTGTAGCACTTTTTAAAAATCTTTAGCTTAGAAATATATAGTTTAAAGGGATACTCCAGACCACTTCTGCCCATTGGAGTGGTGTGGGTGCCAACTCCCAACACCCTTAACCCTGCAAGTGTAATTATTGCAGTTTTCATAAACTGCAATATTTACATTGCAGGGTTCAGTCCTCTTCTATTGACTGTCTACTAGACAGCCACTGGAGGGACTTCCGTGTTTATAAAACCCGAAAAGTGTTTTAAAACGACGCTGAACGTCCTCACGCTATGTGAGGACCTACAGCGTCGCCGAACTCTCCATAGGAAAACATTAAATGCTTTCCTATGGCGAGGTCTAATTCGCCGCGCATGCGCATTAGGTCTCCCCCGCCAGCTGATGGCGGTGGAGGAACGTGGGCAGAGCCTGATCCAGCGCCGAGGGACATCAGCGCTGGACTCCAGTAAGTGACTGAAGGGGTTTTAACCTCTTCAGCAACTTGGGAGGGAGAGGGGCATAGAGGGTCCTGCAGTTTCCTGGCACTGGAGAATCCCTTTAAACCCTTAAGGATGCAGGAAAATTTCCACCCAATACAAAAATTAACCCCAGATTGCAGCAATTGTGTGGTTTATGTTCCTCTAGTGTGTGCTGTGTCTGAGGCACACTACAGCAAGCAGTTTCACTTTCACAGCCCATGTGATCGCTCTGACCGGGAGTTAGGCATCACACATGCTGCAGTGAAACCCGATCTGCCTCCCTGCGCCTCCGTGTGAGTTGTGAAGTACAGGGAGACAAGTCGGTGCTGATCTGTCTCTTGCTGTGAAAAAAAGTGTTTAGTAATAAAATCCAACCCCCACTCACCTCTTTCAAATAAAATGTAGCCCCCTCCCTGCCCTTTGATCACGGTCTGCAGTGATCAAAATACAGATCAGTGAACTGTTTTTTGTTTTTTTTTTAACCCCTGAGGCTTAACTTTTATATATATTTTTTAACCCTCAGGAGTTAAATTTATTTAGTTAGTTAAATATTTGTAAAATATTTATTTGGCTAGGGTTGGTAGAAGTTAGTGGGGAAATTGTGGGATTTACTGTTAGGCTAGATCGGGGAGCAGTAAAAAAAAAAAAAAAAGGTTTTAGAAAGTTATAAAAAGTTTTAAAATAGTAAAAAAAAAAGTTGTTAAAAGTTAAAAAGAGAGGTTTTTAAAAGTTAAAAAAAAATTTAAAAAGGGAAAAAATGTGTATTACCTCTACACTTGGTACAGGCTAGCGAAAAAATGATCCCACGCTAAGGTTCAAAATATGCCTTTTGAAATACCCTGGGGTGTCTTCTTTATCAAATGGTATGCCTTTGTGAAGTAATAAGGAAGCACAACCTGCTAAAAAAAATTCCAAAGTGGGGCATGGACCCAGAGTAAAAATTCAAACTTTTTTGCCCATTTAATGTTGTCCTATACCTGGTAAAGGTACATACGGGGGTATTGCTGATAACACAACTGAGCAATATATGAAATATACTGCCGTAGCACACATATCGTTTGCAAAATATACAGTACAAACTCACTGTGTGTGTCAAAAAGGCACAAAAAATGCTTATTACCACTACACTTGATACAAGCTAGCAGAAAAATTTTCCCATGCTAAGATTCAAAATATTCCTTTTGAAATACCTTCGGGTGTCTTCTTTAAGACAGTCCGTCCTCGGCGAATTAGGACCTAGCAGCCAAATGATCGCTCTAACAGAGCGGTCACATGGCCGCAATAGGTGCCTGTGTATCTACTTGCAGGGGGACTGCAGTCTCCCTGCTGCTGTAAAATGAAAAAATAACGTTTCAAAAAAGCAATCAGTGGTAAAAAAAAATATATATAGTCAAACTAAGTGTGTGTGTGTGTGTGTGTGTATATATATATTGTGTGTGTGTGTGTATATATATGTATGTATATATATTCTAAAATATAAATAAGTAAATAAAAATAAATGTAAAAATAATTGGAATTTAAAAAAAATGTTTGTCATTTTATTCAAACGGTATTTTGATACTAATATATATTTATATCAAAATACACTTACAGAATGAAATGATATATATATATATATAGAGAGAGAGAGAGAGAGAGAGAGAGAGAGAGAGAGAGAGAGAGAGAGATATTAATTATATGGAAATATACATATGTCCTTATACAAAATTACATTCATAAATATACACGTAGACTTCAAATATGTGTGTATGTTGATGTATGTTGATATATATATATATATATATATATTTTTTTTTTTTTTAATTCTACGTGCATATTTATATAATATTTTGACATAATTAAGTAATATTATTGATTGCAATTTGAGTGACCTGCCTGACAACCCAGGCTGAAATCCAGAGAATTTAATTTGCTAGCACTGTGTTTAACCCAGTAACATTCTATGACACTCTAAAACCTGTACATGGGGGGGTACTGTTTTACTCGGGAGACTTCGCTGAACACAAATATTAGTGATTCAAAACAGTAGAACATATCACAGCGATGATATTGGCAGTGAAGGTGGCGTTTTTTTGCATTTAAATCTGAGTTTTATTTGTTTATGCAGTATTTATACATCCGTGAGAATCTCAGATCTCCCCCAAAAACTTTTTTGCAATTCAATAACAAGTAAAAGGTGTAGTCAAAAGTTAAACACAGGTGATGTACATAGTTATCTGAGCTCGCAGGCCTGCAATGTTGACGGACACACAGGTCCCTTGTGGTGCTCCCACTATTAAGTGTGTAGAATGTTACAAAGATCAAGAGGGGGTGGGAGGGTTAGTGGTAAAAATGCATATGTGTATTTTCAATTTACAACTTCATTCCTACATCAATAGACATTCACAGATACCGGACAACTCGCATGAGTCGTAGTGTGTAATGAGGCCGGTGTTGGAGTTGTCACTACAGACTAGTTTTGTAGGCTTATGCATAGCGCGTGTGGCTTCCGGGTTGTGTTGTGGTTTTTTTGGATTTTTCACACACAAACCACTTTCACTGATGATATTGTTGTGATGTTTTACTGTTTTGAAACACAAATATTTGTGTTCAGCGAAGTCTCTTGAGTATAACCGTACCCCCCATGTACAGGTTTTATAGTGTTTTTGAAAGTTACAGGGTCAAATATAAGGCTTGATTTTCCTTTTTTAATTTTTTTTTTAAATTTGCCAGATTGGTTATGTTGCCTTTGAGAGCATATGGTAGCCCAGGAATGAGAATTACCCCCATGATGGCATACCATTTGCAAAAGAAGACAACCCAAGGTATTGCAAATGGGGTATGTTCAGCCTTTTTTAGTAGTCACTTAGTCACAAACACTGGCCAAAGTTAGCGTTCATAATTTTTTTTTTGCATTTTTAACACACAAACAAATATAAATGCTAACTTTGGCCAGTGTTTGTGACTAAGTGGCTACTTAAAAGACTGGAAATACCATGGGTTGTCTACTTTAAAAAAAAAATTAAATTAAAATATGTGCATGTGAGGTGTGATTCGGAGATTTATGACAGATGTGTTACAATGTCACTATTGAAAAATTTAAAAAATATTTTGAAACCGCAATTTCCTACTTGTACTTATAGCCTTATAACTTGCAAAAAAAAAGCATGTGAACACTGGGTATTTTTTAAACCCAGGACAACATTTTGAATCTATTTAGCAGTTTTTTTCATTAGCTTTTGCAGATACCAGTAAGTAAAATATTGTTACTATATATAATAAATATATATATAAATATAAGTAAAAGTCTAAAAAAATTTTTTTTATTTTTTTTTAAAGTAAAATATGACATGATACATATAATGGTATGTACAGAAAGCCCTTCTTGTTCTGAAAAACAATATATAATATGTATGGGAACCGTAAATGAGAGAGAGGAAAATTACAGCTAAACACAAACACTACAAAAGTGTTAAAACAGCTCTGATCCTTAACGTACAGCATGGCCAAAATAGTCCGGTCCTTAAGGGGTTAACTATGCTCAAATGTAGACATTCTTTTTACATTCTGTTGTGCATGTCTGTAATCTGCACTATTAGTAATGACACAAGGGTTTTTACCAATACCTATTTGCAGGCTATTTGACAATTAGTATTTGTTTTTCACACTTCCTGTATGTGGGGGGAAATTATTTTTGCTTTTATACAAACATCAGACACTCCATGTGAAATATTGCAAGAAAAATGACACTGCATACTGTCTATAGCTTTTCATTTCCCTAAAAATTCTATAAATGAAAAATAAAAATGTACAAATTTACATAATTTTAACTTTGCTTGTAAAGTAATCTGTAAACAAAGCTTTTGTTTAAAAAAAAAATAAATACACACACACACACACACACACACACACACACACACACCCCCACCCACTTATCCGGTCTGTCCACCTTAGAACTTTTCCTCCTCTATTTTGTCATCACATCATCACTCTCTCACCTTAGGACTTTAGGAAAACTTATGATATTTGGACACGTGTAAATAATAAAACATGATTTTTATCTTCCTCTAGGTCAAGAAACAGAGTGCAGCAGCAAAAAACATGAATTCTGTGAAGCAACCGGCATCTGAACAAAAAAGCCAGCCAACAGCCAAGCCTGGGAAGAAAACTCTTACTGACCTAGTCACAGAGAGCAGTGATACATCTGATAGTGAAGAAGAGACTAAAATGGTATCTACAGTACCAGGTGAACTAGATTCATCCATTGAATAGGATCCTTACAACTAGAGGAAATAGCATTTTTCTGTTTCTCTTTTCAATGTATAGGAGATTAGTCCAGTGATGTAGATGTAAAATATGTGTGTGTGGGTATATATATAGATGTATATGTATTATTGGACTAACAAAATTTTAGAAATAAGCTTTTGGGAGTTTCTCGCTTTCTCAAGTCTAAAACATTTCTGAGCAAAATTACACAGAGTTCAAAGTTGACTTTGGGACACTGGTTAAGAAGACATCAAAGAAAAGAGTACACAAGTCTCAGAGAGGGACGGAGTAAAAAAGACCGCATCAATAAGCACAAATGTACACACATTCAAACAAAGAATTTGTTGTGTTTACATATACCTATACATAGATAAAGAATAGTGTGTTAACTTTTTTATTCACTAATTACACTCTTACTTTTCTGTATTACACAGATTGATCGTTATTTGATAAAGTATATAACCTTTCTCATAGCATGTGTACTTTTTATATTTAAAACAAACAAATCTATACAACCTGGCCATTCTAAAGCAGTTCTGGTCTTCAGCAGTTTGCTTTTTCATATTCCCACTCCTTTCTTTTCAAATATCATATTAAACACCCGGGTGCCACATCCATTATGGGATATGCTTGTAATTTCACAGGCTATGCATTTTTTTTTAATATAGATCTTCTACTGTCAATGTTATTTTTCGACTCCCTCATTTCAGCTGTTTTTTGTTGTTGTTTTTTTTAGCTTTCTTGCACCCTAGTATTTTTCAGCCAAATTAAACCCTCTGACTTTTAGAATCTGGACATGGTATTCACATTTAATAGAGGGCTACAAATGTCCATATGTGCCATTGATTGTAACATTCCACGTAGAAAGGATAGACCTTGGTTTAACAAAAACTGGTAGCAGGTGAAATATTTCTGAATCTAGCTGTAGAGAAGGTGTAATAGACATTTTTATCGCAATTTAGTATTACAAAGTTGCTCTTGGAAAATCACACATCACAGCACCCCTTACAAGCTGAACTATATGTGTAGTCTCTCATGTTGATGGAGGTTTATGGGAACCTTTTTTTCTTTTCTAAGAGATCGTTTTTAATTGCAAGTTATATATGGGAACAAAGTAATGCTTGACATTGTGGTGATCTATATATTTTTTTAATACATTAGCCATTTTGAAGCCTGTCCTTAAAGCTTCTGACAGCAGTGAATCCTCATCCAGTGATGAAGCAGAAATGGAGACTGATCAAAAAGTATGTACAAGTAGGGGTGATAGTACTCTGTTTTATCATCGTATCAGACTTTTATGTTGAATCCTGTATTTTCTTTAATGCTAACATTAATATAATATAGTTGTATAGTAATACAATAAATCTAAATTATGGTCATCTTCTTTGAGAGGCAAGAGTTTGTTGGTAGTGTAATCTTTATAGAATACTTACTGTCTTTAAAGGAACACTATAGGGTTAGGAATACACCTTTGTGTGCCCAACATTAGAGTGTCCCTCTGCCATGCTCTCGCTTCCTGCTTGGCTACAATTCCAGTAGCTTGTGTCCCTCTGCCATACTCTCCCTTCCTGCTTGGCTACAATTCAAGTAGCTTATTCCAGCGCTGGCTCTGTCTCCTCCAACATCATCCTATGCTGAGCACATTAGGCTTTTACCATAGGAAAGCATTGAATCAGTGAGGACGTCCAGCGTTGTTCAACTGAGTCAAAGTGCAGGAAGCGGCTCTAGCCACTTGAGGCTGTCTTAACCCTGCAATGTAAACATTCCAGTTTGTTTGAAACCACAATATTTTATATTGAAGGACTAAGGGGACAGTGACGCTGCACCTAGACCACTTCAATGTGCCTACAGTGCCCCTTTAATAAGAATAAAGACTAAGGCAAACTAAGTACATAAGCATATATTTGATGACCCTCTGACCTATAAGAAATAGCACAATAGAACTGTATTTAAGGCTTATTTGTCTTACACACTCTAACATATGGGCTACAAAATATTATATACTAAAATGTCCGCAAAATAATTCGTTCTATAAACTCAAGATGGTTTACAGATTAGTTAAATGTTGCAACCTACATTTCGTTTACGTTTTGCTTCTAAATATTTCAGCTTAAAGCGGCACTGTCATGCCGAATCCAGGTTTTTTTTTTTTAACCCCTCTCCCGCCTCCACTACATCCAATTGACCCACTAGTCACCCCCAAATACCCCTAAACCCCCCAGATTACCTCTTTTTAAATCTTTATTTTCTGCCCTGATCTATATTCAGGGCGCCGCCATCTTTGTGTGGGTAGGTGAAGTCCCTGTGGGACACGTCATCAGCCCACACTAGATAGCCTGTGAGATTCCCGCACATGCGAACGGGAATTTCATCTATTCATTCATCCATCAGACAGACGAATGAGTGAATAGAAATATCAGCCGAACAAACAAACACTATGTATCAGTGTATGTTTGTTCGTGCAGGTTATTACAAGGAGGGAGCTACCCTCCTTGTAATATGTAACTATAGAAGCGGCAGGGAGCAGTGCTCCCCACCACTTCATAAGCCCCCCCAGGTCCCCCTCTCACTCTATGGGGGTCAATATGACCCCCATAATAGCACAAGGGAGATTAAAATCTCCCAAATGCCCCTACTCGCTATACCTATTGTCCCCCCACCTCCCCCACCCTGAGCGGCGGGTGGGGGCCATGAAGATAATGAGGGGGGGGGGGACCTACTGTCCTCCCCCCCATCCTGGGCGGTGGGTGGGTGCCCTAATAAAACAATAAGGGGGGGACGACCTACTGTCCTCCCCCTCTCTGCCCCCCACCCCTGTGCGGTGGGGGCCCTAATAAAACAATAAGGGGGGGAGGGACCTACTGTCCTCCCCCCGGCCCCCACCCCGGGGGCCCTAATAAAACAATAAGGGGGGGAGGGACCTACTGTCGGCCCCCACCCCTGCGCGGTGGGTGGGGGCCCTAATAAAACAATAAGGGGGGGAGGGACCTACTGTCCTCCCCCCCGGCCCTAATAAAACAATAAGGGGGGGACCCTACTGTCCGGTCCCCACCCCTGAGCGGTGGGTGGGGGCCCTAAATGAAAGACTCCCCCCCCCCAAATCAAGGTGACTAGGGGTCCCAAGCCCCTAGTCACCCCCCCACCACCCAAAAAAAACTATCCCCTACCTACCCCCCTCACCCTAAAAATAGTGAGGGGGGAATAAAATAACTAACCTGTAAAAAAAAATTAAACTTACCATTTGACGTCTTCTTTTTTCTAAAATCTTCCGCCCTGCAATTAGGCTTAGAACACTGGTGGGTTTAAATTACTCTGACCAGCGGAAATGAAGCACACTTTGCTCCTGAGCTGGTCAAGCGGAGGAATCCTCCATAAGGCAAAGAGTCCCTACTTTGTCTTATGATTTTAAAGAAAACTAAAGAAGACAGGAAGAAAAGAATAACAGATCCTGAGAGAGGGGGAGAAGAGGAAGAGATTGAGGAAAGGTAAGTTCGGCATCACAGTGCCGCTTTAAGTGAAATATAAAATGTAATCCTTTCTCTCTAAATTATATTCATTTCATGCTCACCTTTATAAAAATTAAATTTCTGTGCAGCACTGGATTTTAGTAAGAAAAGGATCACCTTCAAACCAATTTATCCGTCAGGCCGTAAACATGTTGGTGTATGTGGCAGAATGGTTTGCTCTTTTAACCTTTAACTTCTTTAACCTCTTTCACCCTTTAAAATTACAGGTAAGGTGTTTGAGGTATATTCTGTAGACAGTAATTTGACAAGAATAGTTACCCTCACACCCCTCTCAAATCTGCTTTTAGACATAAATCAGCTTATCAATGTATCTATCATATATATTACCCGTTTACAGCACTCTAGAATGCGTAAGCATTACAGCTGTTTTAGACGATTGTTTTTATTTATTTAAATAGCCTTTGATAGTACCGAGTAGTGCTGCTAAGAGTGTCCCTGACGCAACAGCTGACAAGAAAGCCCCAAGTACAGGGGCTTCAAATGGAACAGTAGCAAGTCCAGCCAAGGCTGCTGGGAAACTAGATGCAACGGACAGTTCTGACAGCGAAGCAACAGACATTGAGACACCGGTGAGTACATTTTATCATGCTATGGATCCTAATTAATAATTACGAATTCTTGCATAATTATTCATGTCTCTTGAATGTTGGTATTGTTACTGCTCAGATTTTATTGGGATTCTCTAATTTGATTTACATAGCATACCAAACACTTAAAACAACCAAAATAGTTGTTACTGTGGCAAAGAACATTAACCTCTTAAGGACATGCTGTTTTCATTTACTGTTTCCTAATTTTAAAACCCATCTTCACTTTTATTTTTGTTGTGTATACATACATACTCCCTATTCATCCATCATGCTGTACATCTTTTCTCTGTTGGCCCTTTTCTCTCTCTGTATTTATTTCAGGAACACCAATGCTAGATGTATATTGTCTGCAAATGTAGATTTTTGTGTTCTTTACCAATAATTAACAATAACTTGCCCCGTCTATACATGGATTGGTGTTTAATCAGTGGATTAGTCATAGGTGATTATAGCAATTGCTTGCTGACGGGAAAATTGGAAACCTTTATTATGAAATACTGATTTTCATGCCTAGAGATGTAAATGTTTAATCACAGTTGTGTTGCATTTCATTCAAACATTTGGCATTGATAGTAATCAGACTTTCCATTAAATGTTTTGAATTTATTATGATGTGCTTATGTGTTTTATTATTTTTTATTTTATCTTTACATTATATTTTTGGAATAGAACTTATCAGTAGGGGTTTTCCCAGACCATCTAAAAATAGAAATCCCATCACCTGCTGCATCACAAATTAGAACTTCAGATATGGCTTCCCAGACCACAATTTCCATGTCAGCATCCCGGGCGGCAGTGCTGCAAAAGGTTTCAGGAAGCAGTGTCTCCTCACCCAAGGTAGGTCACTGAACCTATAGAACACACAGCAGTGCTTCCCTTGTGCCCTTTTTGTATTAAAACTGTGCTGTTGTAAGTTGCCATGTCCTCTACATAGCAAGAATTAACATAACATGTAGTCCTGACAAGTTAACTGGTTAATAAAGGGGTACTATTACTTGTGTTCAGAATTCTTTATGGCTAATAATCTAGAGAACTGGGTTTGACTACAGGCTATGGTCACAGTCTAATTCTTATTTGTGGTGCACATCCTGGGTGCTTTACATCATACGTTTGTGCCTCCTTCCTTGAGTATTTTCTAGCCTTTTATTCACATCTGCTCTGTTACTTCGCTTGTAGCTTACTGAAATTCCCAAACCTGCAGTGCCCATGCCATCTAAATCACAGGATGATAGTAGTTCTGAGAGCAGTGAGTCTGGCCACGAAGAGGAGTCTGTTGAACAGGTAGAGCACACAAAAACTCCACAAAGGTTCTGCATCCTGTGTGTCACTGGAACTAAGGGTGATAAGAATATATGTCTAAAACCCCTCTGCTTACTTAATTTGTGCACCTAATATTGTGTGGTCATGGTCCTTGTTATATAGCACAATTTCTTTTTCCCCAGCAACTGGGATGTCTATTTTTAAAGACATTAAATTGGACCTGTCTCATGTGAGATTTTTGTGTGATACTCAATATTGTACCGAGAGGAAGCTTTGGGATTTACAGTTTCATACTTTAGAGATTCTTTTTTAACATTTGTTCGTATCTTGCTGTTATTTTACTTGTAACAGATGGCATTCCCTGAACATGTTTCCCAAGTACCCACACTGCAAATTTAAAAATGCCAACTGTATGAGTAGATCAAGCAGACGTTCGAAGGCACTATCTGTGCATTTACCAGGGCTGCCCCTGAGTCTCTAATCTTGGCACAATACACCAGGAGCAGAGCATTCATACCAGTAGCTATTAGCTCTATCTCAACGAGACCCGAGGATGGAACAAACTGGGATTAAATCTCCAGAAGGAGACTGCATTCCCTAACTTTAGAGTGAGAACCTGGTCGAACAAGGTGAGGGAATTTGGTTTCATGATGGGCTAGAATATACCCCTCAATCTTCAGATTCACAAACCAGTTAGTGTAGAACTGAAGAAATGATTCTTTGGTTTTCAACACTTTCTAGAATAACCTGGACCTTGATAGGGTCATGGAAAGGGTGAGAAAGCAGGATCTGTTCTTGATGAGTGCAATGCTGAAAGCCCAGCTGGTAACTTAAAAAAACAAAAACCCACACTCTACCTATAGGTCTGAAGTCCAGGTTTTGCTGAACGACTGCAGATGTCTTCTGTTCACATCACCCCCAATGATAACTTCAGGCAATCTTTGTGAGTGCTGTACATGTTTTGCTTTCTTCCAAAAGGAAGAACCTTGCCTACGTGGAGCCTTGATTGTAGGCTTCCCTGGAGTGAGGCCTTCTTATCCTGTAGTAGAAAGGCTGTCTTACTGACAGTCACTTACTGCATTTACCCTGAAATGGCAAAGCCTAGAGAAGTGGCTTGGAGCTCAGGTTGGCAACCAAGGGTTGGGCCACAACATCCATCTGGCAACTTCACTCAGCCATAAGTGTTTTGGTCCAGTGGGCATTGCGTTATCTAATCACCCCCTGAAGATAGAAAGTTGAGTAACTTTCCCATAAAAAGATGTAACCCCAAACATGCTAGAGGGACCAGACAAATTTCCAGGGGGTCATTCGCCTGCGCAGGAGACACTGGGAATATGAAAGGAAGCCAGACAGTACACCAAATAGTTTTATCTTGGACTCCTCAAATATAGATCTTCCCCACCACTTATTAGGGACACAGGTGAACACTAGTCATTATTCATTTGCACAGTGACTGTAGTACAAGTGGAACTGGAGAAATCTCTGGTTGGCTGGTATAACTAATCATATCAAATTAGACTGAAGAAAGAGGGGGAATACTATTGTAGAGCATCTAGTGTCACTCCACAGCAGAGGGCAATATAGAGAGAATAAGGGATTACACTGTCCCAGAATCTAACGGTGCCCTGCTTTGCATTCAGTGTCTGGAGCTCAAACCCAGCCATTCGCTATGGGCATCAGCCAAAGAGACATTTATAAGGAGATCTCTGTCGACAACCTGGGAAAGTATCAGACTCTGCATGTTATATGGCAGGGTACATGCAAACCCACTAGGGGTACATTGCCAAGCATATACCATTGTCTGGCCAACATCCTTTAACTTGTGATTTGTAAAAGAAAAAAAGAATACTAATCTTACATCATCCAGTGCTATCTCAAATCCACCTTCCTCCTGAGAGGCAGATAGATATCTGACTATTCTCTCTGAGGTGCAAAAGTGGGGGGGAGCAAACCAAAGCATAACATTATTGGTGTTTCCACCACTTCTAGTTGAAAGGCACTTTTTCGTCATATCATAACTTACAGGATCTCACAGTGTAAGGGAGGAAATACAATTTAGTTTAAAGGGACAAGCCCTGTCCTTTTATTTCCCCTGCAATAGACTAACCGTTTCTTTATTGTGAAATGGCTTATCAGAGACTTGTCATTGAGAAGCCCCTGAATCTCCCCTCTGTGCACATACACCACCCTCACTCACAACGCTAGTCTGATCTGGGGTTTGAGAAGGAAGTATGTGGGGGGCGAGGGGGGAGTAGGCACGCACGTTACAATGAAGTGCATCTGACACTTCTGTTAGCTCAGTGGTGCTAACAGAAGCATGAATAAAATTTGTAAGAAAATGTTCTTATTAATTCTATAATTTATATATACATAACACAGTCTCTGAAATTTTAGTATAAAAGCAAAAATGATTTGTATTTTATTTTTTCTTCTCTAAGATGCAGTAGGTGTGACAAAAATATAGCATTCGTTAAGACAACGTGATTTTGCTGCTTAGAATGCTGCTTTATTTTTTTTAAAGTAGAATAATACCCGGCTACATACATGGATCTGATAATCCTTTGCACTTATTCAAATGCTTCAAGTTGCTAATTTACTGATGGTTCCAGACATTAGAAGGAAACAGAAATATCAACAAAAAACACAGCTGAAATGGCAAATTTTAGAAAGACACAGTATGTTATATTGCTCTCACACATACCGTGCAGCCAGCCACCCACTATCTATGTGGCAGTTGGTTATACATAATGGATTTTACACTATAAACTAGAACTTTAACATATGCTTCATATCTTTAATACATTGGCAGCAAAAATGTGGGCACTTCAAATGCTGTGGGCTACAAATGGTTGGCGTATGCTCACAGATAATATAGTTAAATAGACTGGCATAAACTTTACCATCATCAAACTGCAAGTTCTGATTCATCCACTAATCCAGCCAGGGCCGTCTTTAATAACGAATGGACCCTGGGCAAGTGTTTGCTTGGGCCCCCTGTGCCCTGCCGCTCTCGCCCCTCACTCCCTGGTATGCAATCACGGCATCCATCCCAACGCAGTGGCGGTACTAAAGTAGAATGAATTTTATTGGGACCCCCAATTGCAAGGTTGGACTAAAGGTAGAACCCCATCTGTCGTGCAACTCCAACAATGCTTTGACAGCTGGGACTCTACCAATTTCCCATGCTTGCAGGGTTGTATTTAGCACTGAGCCATGTTAGTATGTTTGAATGTAAGCATGTGTTTGTATGGAGTATGTTTGTGTGAATGTGTTTGTATGTGGTACTGGAGTTTGAATGCAAGTGTGCATTTATGTGTAGTGTTTGTTTTTGAATGTAGGAGTGTGCTTGTATGTAGTGTTGACGTTTCAATGCAGGAGTGTGTTTTATATGTAGTGTTGAAGTTTGAATGGAGGGGTGTATTTGTATTTAAAGTTGCGGCTCAGATGCACAGGTACACACTCTGACGCACAAGCAGATACACAGATACATACACTGACTACATACAGATAAACAGGCACATACACTGACAGACACACTGACACAGGTACATATATTGACACACACACAGACACATACACTGGTAGACGTACTGACAGACATACTGACACAGGCACATATACAGACATACTGACACACAGACACATATACCGACATACTGACACACACACACAGACACATACACTGATCAACATATTGGCACACATACACTGACAGAAATACTGACACCCACACACTGACAGATATACTGAAACCCACATACACTGAGAAATACTGACACACACACACACAGGCACATACACTGACACACACAGACTGATATACTGACACACAGACATACTGGCACACAGACAGATATACTGACACATGCATACACATGCACTGACAGACATACTGACACATACACATACTGACACACACAGATATACACACACATATATACTGACACACAGACACAGACATACTGACACACACACAGACATGCTGACACACACACATACATGCTGACACACACACATACACTAACACACACAGACATGCTGACACACACACATACACTAACACACACAGACATGCTGACACACATACACACACACTAACACACACATACACTAACACACATACACAAACACACATACACAAACACACACACACACACACACATACACACACTAACATACACTCACACACATAACACACACATACATACACTCACACACATAAACACACACATACATACACTAACACACACATACACACAAACACATTTTTTTTTTTTAAAATGTAATCCCCCCAGCCTCCTTACCTTTTGGAGTGCTGGGGTGATTCCCTGGGGTCCAGTGGTGCTGCTGACCCCGGCGGGCTGGTGGCCAGTCGGGCAGGAAGGCGGGCGCGCGAGGGAGCACTCACTACTTCCTCTTCAGCTCCCTCGCGCGCCGCGTAGGGATGCCGGCGCCGGAAGATGACGACATCTCCGGCTCCGGCATCAGTGCGGCGCGCGAAGGAGCTGAAGAGGAAGCAGTGAGTGCTTCCTGCCCGACCGGCCACCAGCCCGCCGAGGTTAGCGGGGCCCACGGGGCAGGTGCCTCGGGCCCCCCAAGAGAAACTGGGCCCGGGGCAGCTGCCCCGTTTGCCCCGCGTTAAAGACGGCCCTGAATCCAGCTTGCTCTTAGTTATTAGAAGACATTCTTTGGCTTCGGGGCTCTTGTTTGTTTCACCTGACACTTTGAGATGTTGAAAGCCAAGTCATTGATCTAGGAGTCATTTACAGAGTTTAGGATTTAAGTGTAGGATATTATAAGGCTATTACGATTTAAGTACATATCATTGAGTGGGGTAAATTCATTCAGAGACCTCATATGGCACTCTTAAAATAATGGTGCTGCTAAATTCTACAAATGCATTTGTCAACCTCCTACTGTATAATATCCTGTGTTAAGATTTTTATTTTACAATCTGTTTAATCTCATCAACTTTTTTTTTTTCTTTCCAGAAGCCAACTGCAAAACCATCCACAATAAAGACAAGTGTGTCTTCAAAAGGTGGCAAAAAGGTAGTAGCTCCAGTGAAGGCTCCTACGCCCATCAAGAAGCCTGTAGAAGAAAGCTCAGAAGACAGTGAGGAGGAGCCAAAAGCAAAGGTAATTTGAAATGTTAAAACAAACATTAGAGATATTCCAGCCTTGATATTTTTCCCCTGTCTTGTATGTAAATTTATATATATTTTCTCTGTAATGGTAATAGTAAGAAGTGGGTTTTCCTTATTGGCAGTTCTGTCTTGGTTGAGCTATGCCCATACTTTTTAAAGAGTCTTATTATTATTTATATAGCGCCATCAAATTCCGTAGCGCTGTACAACGGGTGGACTAACAGACACGTAATTGTAACCAGACAAGTGGACGTACAGGAACAGAGGGGTTGAGGGCCCTACTCAATTAGCTTACATGCTAGATGGAGTGGGGTAAAGTGAAACAAAGGGTAAAAGTAGGGATTGACTGATATTGATTTTTTTTTTAGAGCCGATACTAATACCAATAATCTGTGAACTGTCAGGCCGATAACATACCGATATTCTGTACATTTACTTTTTGGTTTATTAATAAACAATTTCTACACAATTCTACAGTTAACTGAACATGTTTATTATTTATTTGTTTTTTTGCAAATCTTTTTTTTAATTAAGGTAAATACACAAAATATACATGCCAGAATTTTTTTATGTTTTAAAGAATGTGTGTGTGTAGTGGATGCAGTGAGAGTATTTGATTAGTGAATGCAGTGTGTGTATGTTTGTGTAGTGAATGCAGTGTGTGTATGTTTGCGTAGTGAATGCAGTGTGTGTATGTTTGCGTAGTGAATGCAGTATGTGTATGTTTGCGTAGTGAATGCAGTGTGTGTGTGTTTGCATAGTGGATGCAGTGTGTGTGTGTTTGCGTAGTGGATGCAGTGTGTGTGTGTGTGTGTTTGCGTGTAGTGGATGGCAGTGTGTGTGTTTGCGTGTAGTGGATGCAGTGTGTGTGTGTTTGCGTGTAGTGGATGCAGTGTGTGTGTGTTTGCGTGTAGTGGATGCAGTGTGTGTGTGTGTGTTTGCGTGTAGTGGATGCAGTGTGTGTGTAGTTTGCGTGTAGTGGATTCAGTGTGTGTGTAGTTTGCGTGTAGTGGATGCAGTGTGTGTGTAGTTTGCGTGTAGTGGATGCAGTGTGTGTGTAGTTTGCGTGTAGTGGATGCAGTGTGTGTAGGTAATGTATGTAAAATGGGTGGGGGGAGGAACATCTTACTGGAAGCCAATGTAGGACTGACAGAGTGGGAAGGAGTGGGAGGTGTGAGCGGACAGGAAAATGAGACTTGCTGCTGCATTCATTATAGATTGCAACGGTGCAAGCTGGGAACATGTAAGACCACTGAGAAGTGTAAAGTCTCTTTAAAGTCTCACTGTGGCTGAAGACTATATCCTGATGTGGGTCTCTTGCTCATTCCATGGAGAATATTATCTGTAACCCCACTGTGATTATGTTGGCTTAAACATATATCTAGATTTGCAGTATCTCTTGTGTTTTCTACTTGTATTTTATTGAATTTTTCAGTATAAAAGCGGGGATCGTACAGGAGAAAAGAGGAATTCAATAACATTCCAGGGAGATTCCATAGGATATAATCTATTAAATAGTATAACCAATTAAATAGCAAAGTAGTAAAATAACTTCAGCTTCAGTAGGCAATCGTTTTTATGATACATAGATATTGTTTAATCACTGAATGGCAGAAGGTATGCTACCAGCCCGGAATATTGATGAAGTGGTAGCAATGGTCCAGGATATGATGCAAATAATTATTTTCTTGTGAGCTGATCAAGATAGATCAGCTGATTTGGTCTACACATGTGATCAATCTGAAATGCAAATAAGTATTTTCACAATGTAGTAGTGGTGATGAGCAGAAGTGAGTAGATATTTCCTTACAAGGTATTCTATTACTAAACATATTGCTGAATAAGACAGATGCACAAGATCCCTGGTTGCCATGGCTTCCAGTGAACCTACTGTTGGCACTGAACTTTTTTTGTATATGTTTTATGTATGTCTGGATATACTGCTTTTGGCTCCTACATGTTGCATATGTCATCCATTTCCCAAAACATGGAAACAACGTTTACTGTTTGTTGGGATTCAGCCGATTATCAGTCTGGGCGATATTCTGCGCTTTCAGCAATAACTGTATCGGTTCATAATAATACTGATATTGTCGATAATGCCGCTGGCGGGCGCCTCCAGCACACGCTATCTCCTGTCATTTCTCACGAGCCCTCAGCCAGTGGGAACACCATGCACAAGAGTTGGAAAGAAGACAGAACATAGCGGGTGCTGGGTCCCGGGTGCCGTCACTGCATTGTGTAACCACCTTGCAGCACCAAGCCACTGCACCACCAGCAAGTGTAATGTCTCCCTTCCCGGGCACAGGTTAAAGGGGAAAATAAAATCAATTATTTTATAAACATTTTTAAATGATTACACAATGTGAAAATTTATTTTTAAAAATAGTCTCTCCACAGAATCCTAACCCACTTTTTTTAAATACACACACTGCATCCACCACATACACACTCACTGAATCCACTGCGCGTGCACACACACACTGCATCCAACATACATAAAATATTCTTGAAAATATAAAATATCTGACTGGCCTGTATATTTTGTACATTTACCACTCAATAAATGAAAATGAAAATTAAATAATAAACTTGTTCAGTTACTGGAATATTTGTGTAGAAATTGATTTGGTTTTTTTTGTTGTTGTTTTTTTTTCAAAACTGTACATGTACAGAATATCTGTACAAATGATTGGTTATCGGCATAAAAGACCACAGATTATCGGTATCGGCACTTAAAGGAAAACACTTGTTTTCCTGGCACTATAGGGTCTTTAGGTCCCCCCCCCACCACCCTCAGGGATCCCCTCCTGCCGGGCTCTAGGGTGAGGAAGGGGTTAAACACTGGGGACTCTCCTCCCTCTTCCGATGTCATTTGCTGAATGCGCATGTGCGGCAAGAGACGCTTGTGCATTCAGTTAGTCCATAGGAAAGCATTTCTCAATTTCTCAATGCTTTCCTATGGACGGCAGCATCTTCTCACTGCGAAAATCACAGTGAGAAGCGCCTCTAGCGGCTGTCAATGAGACAGCCACTAGAGGCTGGATTAAACCTAGTGTAAACATAGTTTCTCTGAAACTATGTTTACAGCAGGCAGGGTTAACCCTAGATGGACCTGGCACCCAGTCCACTTCATTGAGCTGAAGTGGTCTGGGTGCCTATAGTGGACCTTTAAAAAGCAATATCGGTCGATCCCTACTATTAATAATTTATTTCTGATAAAAAAAATTTTATCAGACAGCTGTTGCAGCTTTACCAGCAAACAAAGATGCATTTTCTAAATTTAATATAGCCAGTGACTCAAATTCCAGCAAAGGCTCCATTGTATTTGGAAGCTCATATGGAAGTGACGAAATGCAATTCAAGACAATATGATTGAGGTGTTCCGTCAAGTAACGAGGCAATGTCTGGATTCCATAGGGTAATTTTTCACCCAAGAAAAGTAGTCTTAAAATGATATAGAATGCCCAGTTTGTAAATTTTATGTACGAATTTAACTTTTCATTGATTCCTAAATGTGTACTTGGTTTATGTCTACGTTCATTAAATTATTGTATTTTTATTTTTATTTTCATTTGTATTTGTTAACAGAAGGTTTTGACAACTCTACAAGCAACCAAAGTAAAGAAAGTTGGATCATCTAAAGGTGCCACAAGGCCAGTGATATCAACTGCAGCAAAAGCTTCATTGCCCATGCAGCAGCTTGCAAAGGATAGTTCAGACGAGAGTGACTCGGACAGTGAGGAAGAGCCAGATACCAAGGTATTTAATAATGATTTACTATTTCTGGAGAACGTGCACTGGCACGTCATGTGTTTAAATGTCATAAAACCATAAGATATGATACAAAAAAGAAAAAAGAACTACTGCCATAGAATAGATAAGGTTAAAAATTAACTTGTAATGATATAATTAAAATAGGATAAAGAAACAAATAAAAACTCTCAATATGCCAAAAAGGAATATAGAGAGATACACAACAAATAAGTGATTATAATGTCCAGATTATTATAAATTGATCATATGACAAATAATCAGCAGTTAAATAGTATCTAAAATTGTTATAAATTGGTAATTTCGATTGGCTAAGTTGTTGCAAATTAATGCTTTCAATTAACTTATGCTGCAGTGCAATATATGTGCTGTCTGTGAGAGGTAGATAAGAACAAAGATTAATTAAATTCCCAATATAGGTTTATAAGAAGTATTGCAAAAAACTAACTGTGCCTTTTTTCTTTTTTGAATTATTCCAGTTAGGGTTAACCCCTTCACTGCCTAGGTTTCAATACCATTAAGCTTCCATTCTTTTTCCCATAAGATATGATGGTACATGTTTGCCTTAAGTGCCAACATTGATTAAATCCCTGCTAGCACAGGAGACTCCAATTATCACTAGGTATCCAGATTTAGCAGCTGCGGCCAGATTTAAAGGACCAATATATTGCCTGGAAAACAAACTTGTTTTCCAGGGCACCCCCACCCTCAGGGTCCCACTCCCGCCGGGCTGAAGGGGGTTAAACACTCACCTTTCTCGGTGCTTGGGACTCTCCTCCCTCTTCTGATCTCATCGGCTGAATGCACATGCGCGGCAGGAGCCGCGCGCGCACTCAGTCCATAGAAAAGCATTCTCAATGCTTTCCTATGGACGCTGGCGTCTTCTCACTCTGAAAATCACTGAGAAACTGCTATGTTTACAGCAGGCAGGGTTAATCCTAGATGGACCTGGCACCCAGACCACTTCATTGAGCTGAAGTGGTCTGGGTGCCTATAGTGGTCCTTTAATGGCTCCATGCCGACTGGTGAGCTGTATGCCGCGCACAAATCAACATGGCTCTCTGTGGATTCCAAGGTTTCATCTGCGACAAGGAGACCTATGGGGGTCAGCAAAGACCCCAGTCGAGTTTTCCTGCATGTGTTACAGCCAACAGTTATTGGCTCTTGGTTGTGTAGGCTGCCCAGCACTGTTCACTATGTGAGTGGCTGTGACATCTCCAAATCTGCAGCATGATAGAGATTTTCCTCTCATACTGCAGTCTGTCAGTCAATATTATTGCTGATGTTAGTACTGACATCAGCAGAGGGATTCACTGTGCCTTGGTATTAGGGTTGAATTAAGGTTGCATTAGGATTGGTGTAAGGCAGTTTGGGTGATTTAAGGATTAGGGAATTTTGGTGTTGGGGTATACCTTCCCACAGTATGCTATACAACTCCCATGATTTTCAGCCAAACAAAGTTTTCCTAAAAATGATGGAAGTTACACACCATTACCTTTATTTATTTAAAACATCCTGTTCTAATCTCAGTTTGAATTTTAACTCCAGTCACTTTCATACCGGCTTTGCATGGTAGAGCGTCTTAAGTTGCTCTCTCTAGCTTTTTAATTGTTAATGTGTTCTCTCCAATATGTGACCTATAAATGCTATATATAATTTGAACTCTAAATTGGTCATTTTTTTTGTCATTTTAGTTTATAAGAAAGGATACAAACTTTGTTAATTTTATTTTGATCTTTTGACAGAAGGTTGTGGCACCTGTGCAAGTCACCAAAACAAAGACCAGTGCATCTTTCCAAGTAACAAAGCAGCCAGTGACACCAACTCCAGCAAAGGCTCCTTTGACAGCTCCAGATGACAGCTCAGAGGAGAGTGATTCAGAAAGTGAAGAGGAACCAGAAGCCAAGGTATTGATAAATATTCAGATAATGATCTCCTATTTTTGGGGTGGGCTAGCTAGTGGATAATATTCAGTGACAAAAATTGTTGGTAAAATATTTTGAAAAGGCCAGAGATTCACTCTTCCTGGAAAGCTTACTGTTTATAGAGCTCTGTATGTGAACCAGTGTACCCAGATATAAGATCAATTCTGTTGAAGTTGCTTTATAAAGAATATCATTTGTTTTGCTTTTTCAATTGATAAACAGAAGATTGTGGTCATACCGCAAGCAACTGACGCAAAGAACTGTGTGTCTGCTAAAGGTGGCAAGCAGTCAGTGCCACCAACGCCAACAAAGGTTCTATTGCCCTCACAGCAACTTGCAGAGGACAGCTCAGAGGATAGTGACAGTGACGAAGAGCCAGAAGCCAAGGTATTTAGAATTATTCAGGTATCCTTTATGGACCTGTACGGTGATTTGTAATTAGCAACCCTGTGAAAAAATACTATTACAATGACCATGGGTGCCTTAATGTTATTTATTTTATACCGGATTAATTTTCATTTTAATTGGTTCCTTAATGCATCGGGAATTTAGAAGTTTCATGTATTTGTTAACAGACAATAAAGTTGGATGGTTGTGATTTAGTTTTACTATCTATATTTTTCTTTTGCTCTTGCTGTTACAACAGAAGGTTGTAATACCAAGTCAGGCAACCAAAGCAAAGGCCATTGCATCTTCTAAAGTCATCAAGCAGCCAGTGACACCCACTCCAGCTAAAGCTCCACTACCCATGCAACAGGCTGCTGGTGACAGCTCAGAGGAGAGTGACTCAGACAGTGATGAAGAACAAGTAGCCAAGGTTATTTGAAATTTTTTGGATATTGTTTAAGTTGTGAAGTTATTTTACTATGACAATAAATTATTTTTGAACTTGGACCGTGCTTCAAGTGTTGGCCATGAGTTTAATTATTTTGATCTTTTGTTACAGAAGGTTGTAGCACCTCCACAAGCAACCACAGCAAAGGCCATCGGGCCTTCTAAAACTTCCAAGCAGCCAGCGACTCCAGCTCCAGTAAAGGCTACATTGTCCACACAACAACTTGCAGATGACAGCTCAGAGGACAGCGACTCAGACAATGAGGAGGAGCTAAAAGCCAAGGTATTTGTAAATGTTTAGACAAAGCTCACAGGGCAGGATGTTGGTGAGCAATTTCTTTTGTCAACCGAACACAATAAAATGGCTAGCCAAAGCCAGAGAGCTATGACTTTTTAAAAGCTCAATAAATGGACCTCCGTTTATTTAAGTCTCTGTGTTGATTTCTAAGTTATACAAACACATTAACCAGCCTCTACCATTAAATACCTATCAGTATTATAATCTCTACTTTTCTCTTTTTCGTATGCTAACAGAAGGCTGAAGCACCTCCGCGACTAACCAGTGTAAGTAAAAGCACATCCAAGCAGCCAGTAACCTCAACTCTTGCAGATAGCTCAGAGGAGAGTGACTCTGACAGTGACGAGGAGCCAGAAGCCAAGGTATTTAACACCTTTCATGTCTAAGCCATTTCCAATATTCTTTTTATGCATGTCAATGTGTTTGTTACACTGTAGGTTTTTTTATATCTTGTTTTTATTTACATTTTTATGTTGATTACATCAGTCATTGAAGATATGACCCAAAGAACAATCAAATACATAGGATACAGAAAAGCAAAACAGGGGTGGGGACGGGACAGACCATAACATTTTTGCAAAATGCATCTAAATTTATAAACCATAGCATCTCATACAGTAACGGTTATCTCTCTTGCGTATATTACAAACCACTAACTTGTCTACAGATGGATGGGGGGGGAGAAAAAAAGATTAAAAAGATTTTTTTTTCTCTTTTCCTTTTTATATTTTTAAGCGCTATGTAGCAATGTTCACATATTGGCACATATTGATCTCTTATTTCCAACCACTGATGCCATCTTCGTTTGTATAGGTCCTCTCTACCCTTAACTCGGCTTGCCATTTTTTCATAGAAGCTAAAATAATCAAATCTGCTCAGGACCTCTGATATTGTTGGTGCTTGTGCTTGTTTCCATTTATGAGCAATGGTGATTTTTGTTGCTGTTAAGCAATGAATAATCGTATATATTGCTTCTTCCCTAAGTTGTGTAGGAAATATAGGGAGTAAAAAACATTCTGGTCTGAATGGAATAATGACCTTCAATACTATCCTAAAAAATTTGTCTATATCCTCCCATAGTTTAGTAATGCTCGGGCAAAGCCAAAAGATATGAAGTATAGACCCCTCGTGTTAGTAGATAAATCGGTCTTAAGTTAGCACATTCAGTGGGCACTTTACCTGGTTTAGGTAGAGTAATTATATGGACCAAAAGCATTTCTTCCGGTAAAGACCTAGCAACCTTAAAATAATTAAATAAATTTGTAAGATATGGTGTAAGTTGAGCTTCAAAGATTACATAAAAATTATTTGGAAACCCATCTGGGCCCGGAGCTTTATTTTTAGGAAGTGTATATATCGCCTTTCTTACTTCATCTTCAGAAAACTGTTCAGAAAGAACATTGCATTGTTGGGTGGTTAATCTAGGCAAATTAACCTCGTTAAGGAAGGTGGATATTTCATCCTTTGAAGGCTGGTACGTATTTATGTCCAATCTTAAATTATATAATTTGTGGTCAAAGGAGCCCAACTACTCCACTACATCTTGCGGATTGTACAATTTTATGCCGTTTGAATCTATCAAGAATGGAATTTTGGTCTGTAAGTATTGGGACTTTAATTTGCTTGCTAATAATTTACCAGCCTTATTGCCCTGCGAGTAATGGGTCTGTTTTAGTTTCCTTAATTGTGTCTCTATTACATTTACGGACATCTCTTGTATTTTCTGTTTGAGTTTAGCTATCTGTTTAGATATTATTTTAGAGGGTTTCAATTTATTTGCTTTATCTAATTCGCTAAGTTTGTTTAGGAGACTTTCCTTATCTGCCGATATCTTTCTTTTCTGTATTGAGCCTGCTTGAATAAATAACCCTCTCAGGACCGCCTTAAGTGTCATACATTTTATTACAATGCTTGAGGTATCAAAGAGATGATCATTATAAAAATACCTAATTGCCATGCTTATTTGGGAAACTAGGTTTGTTTGATTTAAGAGAGATTCATTAAGGCACCATGTGCTTCTACCCCCTACTGCGAATTGTGCTCTAAAGGTGGTGACAACCGGTGCATGATCAGACCAAACCCTAGTACCTATTTTTATCTCAGAGACATTTATTAATGTTAATTTGTCTATTCGAGAGTAGGTGCTATGTACATTTGGAAAAAAAGGTGTAATCTTTATCGTTTGGGTATAAACTGCACCATGTATCATGCAAATTAATGAGTTTAGAAAATTTTGAACTCAAGAGGGTGGCCTAGTGTAACGGATGTTTACCATTACTCCTTCTTTTGTCAACCGAACACAATAAAATGGCTAGCCAAAGCCAGAGAGCTATAACTTTTTAAAAGCTCAATAAATGGACCTCCGGTTATTTAAGTCTCTGTGTTGATTTCTAAGTTCTACAAACACATTAACCAGCCTCTACCATTAAATATCTTATTAGTATTATAATCTTTACTTTTCTCTTTTTGGTATGCTAACAGAAGGCTGAAGCACCTCCACAACTAACCAGCGTAAGTAAAAGCACAACCAAGCAGCCAGTAACCTCAACTCTTGCAGATAGCTCAGAGGAGAGTGACTCTGACAGTGACGAGGAGCCAGAAGCCAAGGTATTTAACACCTTTCATGTCTAAGCCATTTCCAATATTCTTTTTATGCATGTCAATGTGTTTGTTACACTGTAGTTTAATGCATTTTAGTGCACCTATACATTCTGTGTGTTCTTTGTATTCTATATTTTTTTTTAAAGCCATGGATCCCATCATGTTTACCGCAAGGTGCGCCTCAATGAGAGAAGCATGTCCAAAGACACCTATTTTTATTTGTACTGTTTCATCTTATATATGATTATAGCATACTAGATATGTATGCATTCTTCCAGTGCTTGAAAACCACTGTTTTAAAGATCAGCTATGGCTTTCTTATGGTACCCCTGATGTTTTGAATAGCATAACAGTACATAAACAATATATATATCTGTTAATATAAAATAAAACTCATGTGAATAAGTGAAAAAAATATTGCTGCTGATGGTTGTTGGTCATATAATATTGCTACTTTTCTAGTGGTGAGTGGTACATTGTTGGAATTTTAGGTTATACTATTTCCATCGCCATCTTATTCACTGCCTAGGGCTTTCTATTATTGTTAGTGTTACTTGTGTCAATAAATATAATACTTCCATGGAACCATTTGGAGTCCTGCATCCTGTCTCTTTGGATCCTGTTGCCAATGGTGGCACCCTTGAGCCTTTTTTTACAGAAACAGGCACAGCTATGGGTCATGTGAGTTGCATTCTTACCCCATCCTCCTATCACGTGTGTTACAGTTCACACTATGCTGTTATTTTATTTTAAGTACCTATACTGCCCGGTTGTACCAACATACATTTGTATATTTTGTCACTTATTCACAATGGTTTTATTTTATATTAACTGGTGTATAAATATTGTTTATGTACGGTTTAAAGTGTTGGAGAAGCACTTTTTATGCATCAGTTTGTCACTTGGTAGTGTACTTATATAATCTCCTGAAGCTCCATTCATTGGAATTAAGTTTGCGTCATTCACAGACCCCCTTTGTCTGCATCTGGACAAAACAAAAATCCAATATTTTTGCTCGTTGGCAGCTCTAGCAGCATGCGGTCAAATAGTTAAGAACCCTTGAGTGGAAGAGTTAATTATGTGTCTGCTTTCCACCACTAGCCAGCCCCACAATGAAAAATTTCATAAATAAAAAGTACCTTTGGAGTTCAATAAGACCACTCTCCTTTACCTGCTAATGAACACCAGATATTGGACTTTAAAATAAATGGCCAGTGGGTGAGGGCTATTTAAAAAAAATAAAAAAAAATAAAAAAATGGGAATAAGCTCTGATTATACCACTGGGCAAGTGGACCTGTCATTCTCCACTCCCCCTCACCCAGGTAGTGGACTGTCTACTACCACCTGGGAAGCTAAGGGTCTACAATCCCCTAGTAACACTCCTAATAATATTAGGTAACCCTACGTACTCTTATCACCCTAATAATAGAATGGGGGACATTAAAGCAAATATCTGGAAAATAACAGCACAAGTCTTCTTTCTTCAAACTCTTTTCTTCATCCCCAAAGAAGGCCAAATTAAAATCCATAATTTCCAACGCAACTAATGAAGAAAAAAGAAAAATGAGAATTCAAAAAACTCTGCATTAAAAATTATTAATCTTAGCCCTCTATAGGCTCTGCGCAGACAAAGCTTGCGTAGTGGAGAAAATTTCCTGTGCTATCCAATATGATTAACCGCTATAGGCACCCAAACCACTTAAGCTTAATGAAGTGGTCTGGGTGCCAGGTCCAGCTAGGGTTAACCCTTTTTTCTGTAAACATAGCAGTTTCAGAGAAACTGCTATGTTTATATTAGGGTTAATCCAGCCTCTAGTGGCTGTCTCATTGACAGCCGCTAGAGGCGCTTACGCGCTTCTCACTGTGAAAATCACAGTGAGAAGATGCCAGCATCCATAGGAAAGCATTGTGAATGCTTTCCTATGAGACTGGCTGAATGCGCGCTGAAGAAAGTTAAGTTTAACCCCTTCCACCCCTTAGAGCCCGGCGGGAGGGGGACCCTGAGGGTGAGGGCACCCTCAGGGCACTATAGTGCCAGGAAAACGAGTATGTTTTCCTGGCACTATAGTGGTACTTTAATAAAACCCAGCTGGCCAGCTACCATATAATTCAGATTAAGAAACAATGCACTCATAAAACACATTTCTAAATTCTATAAGGCTACTTAAAATTGTAGTGATTGGCTTAACACAATATGGCCATATATATAATGGAACTGAATCACCATATTTGTTTGCTGAGAGTTGATTTTCAGTAGCCTTATAGAATTTAGAAATGTTGTGTGTGCCGTTCCTTATCTGTTATGTATAAATTTTGGTCACTTCGGCAGCACCATTCCTGCAAGATGCATGTTCCGGGTGTCCCCCCAATTCCCTTTTGTTTTTATCTGCCATATAATTAACCCACTAAACTGCACCTAAAGTGACACTCCACACTCATGCACTTCAGCTTGCATTATGTGTCAGGAGCATCTCCTCTTAATTGCACTTTACAAAAGTGCTGATGATCTCTGTTTAAAATCAGCACTTTTGTAACAAAAGTTTATCTTTTTCCCCCCAATTCTTTTAGAGAATAGCACATCGCTCCTGCCTTCTCCCACAGTAAAAGCATGTCACTTAAGCCCTGTCTGTGAACTCCAGGGCTTTCCTCCAGGCGCATGCTCGCAGCTGAAAATTAGGTGTCTCTGCGAGAAGCTTCACATGCGAAAAGTCTGTGCTGGAGATAAAGAGAGGACTTGCAAAGATCTGCAGCTCTTACTTTATAGAACACTAACCCTACTTCATAGCTAAACCTAACTAACCCTTATCCTTGATTGAGGCTGTGTGATCATGAGCAATAGCCCAGTACATGCCTCTATCTGCATGTAAACCATGCTCCAATGATTGCCAGTGTTTTTTAATGACAATTGGCAAGTGAATATTCACCCCTAATGTGCCAAGGACCCTCCAGGTTTGCAGTATTAAGTAATGTTTAGATCTGCCTTATAGCTTAGGACTTCATATATTAAGCCCTGACAAAGAGGTAAATAAGTTTAGGCAAAGTTCATGGTATTGGGTTCCTGTAGGCCTCCGCGTCACTCTATCAATAATTCTGGTCGTTAAATTACCGGTAAATTAGTTGTTAGAATCCAAGCCGTCTGTCAAGGCTAATGTTTTGGGTTTTTATTTTAGTTTTATGGAGTTTCTCCTTAATTGTATTTTTTTATTTTATCTTATATATTGATTAGAAGGTGTGACAAGTCATGGTTTATAGCATTTAGTTTCTAAATGCTGCATATATCAATCAAGCCCAAAAATAAAATATGCTTTTGGTTATCAAATTATGGTAATATTTATTTTAATCATTGTTATCTTTTGTGACAGAAGGTTGTGGCACCCTTGCCAGCAACTAAAGCAAAGGATGGCACATCTAAAGTTGCCAAGCAACCTGTTGCTACAACTCCAGCAAAAATTAATTTCCCTATGCAGCAGCACGCAGGTGACGGCTCAGAAGAGAGTGACTCGGACAGTGACTCAGAAACAGAGACCAAGGTAGTTTGGTAGGATTTTGATGCTGCCATTTACTAGCTATATGTTACAAGCACATAATGTGCATTACAACAGAATTAAGACTGGGATAAATGAAACATAGAAACATAGAATATGACGGCAGATATGAACCATTTGGTCCATCTAGTCTGCCCAATTTCTAAATACTTTAATTAGTCCCTGGCCTTATCTTATAGTTAGGATAGCCTTATGCCTATCCCACGCATGCTTAAACTCCTTTACGGTGTTAACCTCTAACACTTCAGCTGTAAGGCTATTCCATACGTCTACTACCCTCTCAGTAAAGTAATACTTCCTGATATTTGCCCCTCTAATTTCAGACTGTCCTCTTTGGTAGTTTTTCTATTTTTAAATATAGTCTCCTCATTTACTGTGTTGATTCTCTTTATGTATTTAAATGTTTCTATCATATCCCCCCTGTCACGTCTTTCCTCCAAGCTAAACATGTTAAGATCCATATAGCTTTCATCAGAATGTGGACATACAGACTGCTGGCACTCCGTGGTGTTTGGAATAACCCTTTAAGTAGATTTTTGACCCCCTTCCTTATGCAAGGGAGAAAGGCTATATTTTTGTTTTGTTTAGGGCAGCGGGCAGTTTGTGTGCAATGTTTTTATTCCTAATGACTAACTTGAACATAGTTTTTGGTTGTTTTTTTTTTTAAACTCGAAATGTTATTCTGAAGAAGGAGGTAATGTTGAAAGAAACATATAAGTATCAATTTTAATTTTTTTTAAATGTATCTGTGATGGTACACACAACTCGGTCATCATAGAGCAAACTTAGTGCCTTTTTCTTTAATTGCATTTGTTACCATCAGGTAATATGGGAAGCTGAATTTTGTCCTTTATAACTTCAAACGTGAAGATCTTAAAGTTTAAAATAAATTTAAAGTTAAAAAGTTCCTAAAGAGGCAGTATCTGACCGCTGTCAGGGCTCTGTTTGTTGGCCAAATGTCATCATTGGAAATTGTCAGAAACTGCAATTTTTGCATTGTCTGTGAAAAAGGACAGCATCTATACATCAAAAACACTGCATTAAGATGTAGGGGCTTAGTGTCCCTTGTGTTTTGTAAGGAAAAAAAAATGTATGCAGTAGACACGTGTTCATTAAATGCTATTTTTACCTGTATATTAAGGTAGCAAAATCCTAGCAAATTACTGATAGCAACCAAAGGCAAATCTGCTTCTATGCATTATGAAGGACCTGTTGGAAGAGGCAAATTCCAAGGTGTTATAGCACATTGCTTACACTTTTGTAACGAACTGAAGGAACCTTCTTAAACATGTTTTCTAGCATTTATCACTTTAGTGAATAACCCTGAAATAATTTCCAAGGGAAATTCTAATTTAAGGCCAGAATTGGCAAAAATTTAATTAACGGGTAGAGTTTTTCTGACTTGGCTATTTTGGCAGTGCAGTGCAATTATGGATTTATGCATTATGAATTATGCATTTTTTGTCTATATTCGCATGATTTAATGGAACATTTCAAATGCATGGTGTCCTGGGTACACTTTACACCTGTAAAATAAAGTGATAAACCTACCTTAATCCAGAAGAGAATCCCTCCCACAACTCTGCTCTGCCCAGCAGGAGACCATCAGTAGTAGTGATCAGCCCCCCCACCCCCAACAGAAATCTTCTTATAGAGAACCATTATGGCAGAGTGCAGCAATCGTCCCGCTGTCTGTCTGTGCATAGTGAACTAAATGCTTCACTATGAGAAACAGTGTTCCATTCGTGTTGGGGCACAAACCAATCATCTTGATAGCTGGAAGAATGTAACCCCCTTTACTTGATAGCTGGAAGAATGTAACCCCTTTACTGCTTTAAAGCTCCTCATGCATTTGAAGTTCTGTGGAGGTTTGCATTGTTCCTTTATATAGTAATTGGTACCTGCTATGTTTAATTGAATACAATGCAATGGATTTTTGTATGTGGTTTTGATTTTTCAATTATTAAAATGTTATGATTTAACACAGCATTGTTTCTTTCTTACTATCCATTTGTGTTTGCTTCATAGACCGTGAATGCAACCCTGAAAGCCTCAACACCAGCATTAAAGCCTGCTTTGCAGCTACCAAAGGCAACCAAAGGGAAAACAGGGAGCCCTGCCAAAGCCGCCACATTTGTAAGACCAGCAGATGAGAGTTCAAGCGATAGTGACTCATCAGACAGCAAGGAAGAAAAGGCAGGATCTCAGGTACTGTTGATATTGGGCTGCAGCATGGTGCCAGGTTTGGCCTACCGGAAGGAATGTTAAATGGAATATCAAGTATTTGGGTTACTTAACATATATTTGCTGTATATTTAAGCATTTATTTCTGTAAGTCATTTACATTCTTTGGTTCTTATTTATATATTTTCTTTGTCTTCTCAATATTTTCATAGAAAGTTTTACCAACACCAGCTGTGGTCAAGTCAACTCTGAGGCCCCTGCTTTCCTCGCCCCCATTGCTAAGCTCTACTCCTTCTGAGATCAAACTAATGAAAAGCAAGAGTGTGCATTCTGCTAATACTCCATCCATAGTGAAACCATCTATGGGCAATATCTCTAGCGGCAGCAGTGATACTGAAAGTGATGATGACCTAACACAGGTATTACTGGAAATTGTAAGAAAGTACTAGCACACAGGCTGGGTGGACTATATTCCTCAGAATGGCTTCCATGACCCATTGTGAACATAGTCTTTAACCTTTGATTTGCATTATGGGAGCTTATGGTACACTGATGTATTTAACAGCAGCTCTGTCACCTTTTAGAAACCTAGATTGTGACGGCAGCTAAGAACCATTCGGCTCATCTAGTCTGCCCAATTTTCGAAATACTTTCATTAGTCCCTGGCCTTTTTTTTTTTTTAATAGCTAGGATTGTGTAATGTCTATTCCACGCATACATAAACTCCCTCACTGTGTTAAACGCTACTACTTCAGCTGAAAGGCTGTTCCATGCATCCACTACCCTCTCAGTAAAGTAATATTTCCTGATATTATTTTTAAACCTTTGCCCCTCTAATTTAAGACTGTCCTCTTGTTGTTGTAGTTTATTCTTCTTTTCTATCATATCCCCCCTGTCTCGTCTTTCCTCCAAGCTATACATGTTAAGATCCTTTAATCTTTCCTGGTAAGTTTTATCCTGCAATCCATGAACCAGTTTTGTAGCCCTTCTCTGAACTCTCTCTAAGGTATCAATATCCTTCTGGAGATACGGTCTCCAGTATTGCATACAATACTCCAAGTGAGGTCTCACCAGTGTTCTGTACAATGGCATGAGCACTTCCCTCTTTCTACTGCCTCTCCCTATACAACCAAGCATTCTGCTAGCATTTCCTGCTGCTCTATTACACTGTCTGCCTACCTTTAAGTCATCTGAAATAATTACCCCTACATCCCTTTCCTCAGATGTTGAAGTTAGGACTCTATCAAATATTTTTGATTCTGTCCTTGGGTTTTTACATCCAAGATGCATTATCTTGCACTTATCCACATTAAATGTCCACTGCAACAACACTGACCATTTTTCTAGTTTACCTAAATCATTTGCCAATTGGCTTATCCCTCCTGGAACACCAACCCTGTTACATATTTTAGGATCATCAGCATAAAGACATACTTTACCATCAAGACCTTCTGCAATATCACTAATAAAAATATTAAAGAGAATGGGTTCAAGTACAGATCCCATAGGAATCCCACTGGTAACTAAACCTTGTTTCGAATATACTCCATTGACTACAACCCTCTGTTGCCTGTCAATCAGCCACTGCCTTATCCATTCAACAATTTTGGACTTCAAACTTAAAGTTTGCAGGTTATTAATAAGCCGCCTTTGTGCAACAGTGTCAAAAGCCTTACTGAAATCTATGTAACGTTTTGGGCCAATTGGGACATTGCTATTTTGTGTGTGATGGCCTGGGGGTGCAGAGGAAGGAAGGCTTCACTTATGTGCAGCTATCACTTGCAGGTGCCACCCTGTCCCCCAGGGGATCCTTGTCAGCTTCTGGTGCTTCATCTGCAAGGAGTCCACACCGGTGCTGTACTTGTTCACATGCACGAGGGTACAACATGATTTCTATGCTGAATCCTGTGTGACTACAGACTGCCTCTAGAACATGCCTTTTTCCTCACAGTCATTACTAGTGACAGCAGGGGGAATTTACAAAAGTTGATGGCTTTGACTTAACCTTTTGTCAAATGTAGGGGAAAGACAGAGTTGGATTGCCAATTAGACACTCAATTTTTTATTTTTTTTACTGGGAAAGATAGGACTGAGCTGCTTAATGAAATGTATTGAAATGTTATGATATTGCCAATAGCACACAATCCTATTAGTTAAATCGATATTCTTCTGACTGGGTACCAGAGTGTTCAGAAATTCCACAATATCTCTGATTTAGTAAAGCAAGCATCAAATAGTTACAAAGCAAAATTATTGTTTGACTTTTTTCATGAGGTCCTTCTTTTTCTGGATTTTTTTTGAATAGATAACAAGTCCCGTGCCTGTGGCTGTTGAGAAAATCAAAGAGAAAATGCCACTTAAAAGTACTGAACCTGCCACAACCATCCTTGGTGTAGTCAAGAGCAATGTTGCAAGTGCAGTGAGAAAACCTGTGGCTATCAAGGGGGTTTCTTCCGAGAGTAGCGACACTTCAGACAGTGAGGATAAACCTGCAGTGAAGGTAAGAACAGAAGAAAGGGATCAGCGCTCTCTATCTATACAAAATACAACAGAAACAATAATAAATAAGTAAAAAGTGGCAGCACACCTAAAAAGTAGGGCTCCCTCACAGGCCTTACAACAGAAATGGTACAGAAAAAAGAAAGGAAGGCAGCGCCACTATAAACCACATAAATTAAAAGAGCACAGAATAGGCAGACTAGAATACAATATATATGATAGATACTAAGCAAAATAGAAGTCCAGAATAAATAGTCTGACTGGTAGATGAATCAAACAACGAGGTATATCCTTGTAGAGGTGAATACAGTCTTTTGTAGTGGGGGATTCTTCAGAGTGGTGTAGATGCGTCTTTGTACATCATATGAAATGAGAAAATAACAACTGATGGTATAGTATGTCCCGAAAGGGGTAGAAGCAATAAAAGAGTATATGGTCCTACTCACGTTTTCAAGAGCTATGGACTTGGCTCTAGTGTTGATAACGTACAGTGGTATAATCCCCACTTATGGGATACGTGAGGTCTTAGTATTCTTTCTTGATTAGGGGACCATATGTGGAAATAAAAGCAGGAACAACAATGGTGCTCAAAGTATAAAATGCCAGAGGTGAGAAGATAAAAAACCAAGTGGTTACTCACATTTAGTTGAACAGACTGACTGTTCAATGAATACAGCTTGAGTGGTATAATCCCCACCTAGGATTCTTGGGAGTAATATCCTCACTGGAAAGTAAAAACACTTCTGTGCTGGATAAAAGGATGGTAGTAATAAAAAAGTAAAATAATAATAGTAATAAAAAGTAAGATGGCTAACTCACAGTAAGAAAGTGGCCAAAATACCTTTATTTAAAACAATATAGTTTAAAAAAACCACAACGCGTTTCGCCCTTAGGCTTTATCAAGTGGAGATCAGAAAGTACATCCTGTTACATACAGGTTTATATAGGCAGTGAACATATTAGAAAATGGTGCCAAAATGATGTCATAATTTTTTTTTTTCTCAAAAGTGCTACATTTTATATGTGTAAGTGAGTACATACCTATATGTGAAACATGTGATAGTTTAAAATTAAAAACGAGGTTTTAAACTCACAATACCTTACATATTCTATTTAGATACAACAGTCACATGATCGGTGGCCATTTTTTTTTTTTTTTTATTTTTCAGAAGTGCTAAACTTTATATGTATCAGTGAATACAAACCTATATTGGAGACATGTGATAGTCTAAAATTTAAATTAAAAACAAGGTTTTATACTCACAATACCTTGCATATTATTTAAATAGAACAGTCACGTATATAAGTCACATTGTATAAATATGTACTTCATGCACAAAATAATTATAAAAGATAATAAAATATAAGAAATATATTATAAAAAATTAATTATAAAAATTATAAAAAATTATAAAAAATTATAAAAAATTAAACAGGTCGAACTCTACATTAAGACCTTCGGGGGTAAGGGTTTTTAAAAGGAACACCCAGTGCATTTCTTTTTGTCCCAGTAATTTTTTGAGGTCACCTCCCCTCCAGGGTAATTTACATCTTTGGATCCCAGTACATTTTAAAAATTTAGGGTCTTTGTTGTGTTGGATAAAATGCTTTGAAACAGAGTGATTAGGGTAGCCTTTGATAATATTTCTACAATGTTCTGCTAACCTTATTTTTAAGCATCGTGTGGTCATACCCACATACTGGAGGCCACATGGGCACTCCAATAGGTATACAACATTCTTAGTAGTGCAACATATTAAGTCTTTAATAGGGTATGTAATACCGGTTTTGTTTGAGGTGAATTGTGTTGTCTTTGATGTGCTGTTTTGGTCAGTGGATCTGCAGACAATGCATCTGTTGCATTTGAAAAAACCTTTAGAATTTGATAAAAATGATGGATTGCTTGTATTGGCTTTTTTTGTATAATTTTTAGTAAGCATTGTCTTTAGGTTTGGGGCCCCTCTAAAAATGATATGGGGTTTATCTGGGATGAGTGTCTTTAAAATTTCATCTTGTTTTAGAATGTGCCAGTGTTTTTGAATAGTTTTTTTCACAATTTTATTCTTATTGTCAAAGTTAAAGATGATCGGTATGGATGGTGGGTCTTTATTTTTATTCGTATTATATTCTAAAAGCTCGAGTCTTTCTTTTTGTTTCACTGCTTTGAGGGATTCTTCTAGCTTTTCTTTTGGGTAATTTTTGCTGATAAATTGAGCTTCTAGTGTTCTAGCTTGTTCGTCAAAATCTGTATTAAGGGAACAGTTCCTGCGAAGACGTAGGAACTGACCTTTAGGGACCCCATCTAACCATGGTTGGTAGTGGCAGCTTGATCTGTCAATGACTGTGTTGGTGCACACTTTTTTAAAAAAAAGTTCTAGTGTTAATATTCCCATCCTGGATAAAAATTTGGATGTCTAAAAAATTTATTAAATCTTTGCTGTGTTCTGATGTTAAAATGATGCCACTATTGTTGTTGTTTAGATGATTTAAAAAAGTTTAAGTGAGGTTTCAGGACCTTTCCAGATAAAAAACAAATCGTCTATGTATCTAAAATAGGATACTAGGTTTGCTTTCCAGGGGTGATCTCCCCAGATTGCTTTAGACTCCCAATTGTCCATAAAAAGATTGGCATAACTTGGTGCAAACCTAGTACCCATAGCTGTGCCTTGTCTTTGAATGTAAAAAGTGTCTAAAAACCAAAAATAGTTATTTGTTAAAATCATTTTTATCCCTTCTAAGATAAAATTAATTTGTTTTCTGGAATTTTATTATCCGTTTTTAATCTATTTAAAACTGCTTCACACCCTAATTCGTGGGGGATTATGGTGTACAAAGACTGGACATCACAAGTGACTAGAATAAAATCTGGATGCCAGGTAAAATGTTCTAAAAAACGTAAGAGAGACATGGAATCTTTTAAGTATGACCTCATAAGTCTGACTGATGGTTGTAATAAAATGTCAATATACTCTGATAAGTTTGATAAAACAGAATTGATCCCGGAGGCAATAGGTCTACCTGGTGGATTGGTCTCATTCTTGTGTATCTTTGGTAAAAAGTATATGACTGGAATTTTTGGATGAGGTATATTTAAATAAGCAAATTCTTTTTTGTTGAGGATATTGGAATTTAAGCCTTTGGTTAAAAATGATATAAGGGAGTTTTGGATGGTATGGGTTGGGTCTGATAGTAGCTTGTCATATACTTTGGGGTCATTAAGCTGTCTAGGGCGGCCTAGTTATACTCTCACAAGAAATGTACATTAAAGAAGCATTTAGACAGCTTAATGACCCCAAAGTATATGACAAGCTACTATCAGACCCAACCCATACCATCCAAAACTCCCTTATATCATTTTTAACCAAAGGCTTAAATTCCAATATCCTCAACAAAAAAGAATTTGCTTATTTAAATATACCTCATCCAAAAATTCCAATTATATACTTTTTACCAAAGATACACAAGAATGAGACCAATCCACCAGGTAGACCTATTGTCTCCGGGATCAATTCTGTTTTATCAAACTTATCAGAGTATATTGACATTTTATTACAACCATCAGTCAGACTTATGAGGTCATACTTAAAAGATTCCATGTCTCTCTTACGTTTTTTAGAAAATTTTACCTGGCATCCTGATTTTATTCTAGTCACTTGTGATGTCCAGTCTTTGTACACCATAATCTCCCACGAATTAGGGTGTGAAGCAGTTTTAAATAGATTAAAAACGGATAATAAAATTCCAGAAAAACAAATTAATTTTATCTTAGAAGGGATAAAAATGATTTTAACAAATAACTATTTTTGGTTTTTAGACACTTTACATTCAAAGACAAGGCACAGCTATGGGTACTAGGTTTGCACCAAGTTATGCCAATCTTTTTATGGACAATTGGGAGTCTAAAGCAATCTGGGGAGATCACCCCTGGAAAGCAAACCTAGTATCCTATTTTAGATACATAGACGACTTGTTTTTTATCTGGAAAGGTCCTGAAACCTCACTTAAACTTTTTTTAAATCATCTAAACAACAACAATAGTGGCATCATTTTAACATCAGAACACAGCAAAGATTTAATAAATTTTTTAGACATCCAAATTTTTATCCAGGATGGGAATATTAACACTAGAACTTTTTTTTTAAAAGTGTGCACCAACACAGTCATTGACAGATCAAGCTGCCACTACCAACCATGGTTAGATGGGGTCCCTAAAGGTCAGTTCCTACGTCTTCGCAGGAACTGTTCCCTTAATACAGATTTTGACGAACAAGCTAGAACACTAGAAGCTCAATTTATCAGCAAAAATTACCCAAAAGAAAAGATAGAAGAATCCCTCAAAGCAGTGAAACAAAAAGAAAGACTCGAGCTTTTAGAATATAATACGAATAAAAATAAAGACCCACCATCCATACCGATCATCTTTAACTTTGACAATAAGAATAAAATTGTGAAAAAAACTATTCAAAAACACTGGCACATTCTAAAACAAGATGAAATTTTAAAGACACTCATCCCAGATAAACCCCATATCATTTTTAGAGGGGCCCCAAACCTAAAGACAATGCTTACTAAAAATTATACAAAAAAGCCAATACAAGCAATCCATCATTTTTATCAAATTCTAAAGGTTTTTTCAAATGCAACAGATGCATTGTCTGCAGATCCACTGACCAAAACAGCACATCAAAGACAACACAATTCACCTCAAACAAAACCGGTATTACATACCCTATTAAAGACTTAATATGTTGCACTACTAAGAATGTTGTATACCTATTGGAGTGCCCATGTGGCCTCCAGTATGTGGGTATGACCACACGATGCTTAAAAATAAGGTTAGCAGAACATTGTAGAAATATTATCAAAGGCTACCCTAATCACTCTGTTTCAAAGCATTTTATCCAACACAACAAAGACCCTAAATTTTTAAAATGTACTGGGATCCAAAGATGTAAATTACCCTGGAGGGGAGGTGACCTCAAAAAATTACTGGGACAAAAAGAAATGCACTGGGTGTTCCTTTTAAAAACCCTTACCCCCGAAGGTCTTAATGTAGAGTTCGACCTGTTTAATTTTTTATAATTTTTTATAATTTTTATAATTAATTTTTTATAATATATTTCTTATATTTTATTATCTTTTATAATTATTTTGTGCATGAAGTACATATTTATACAATGTGACTTATATACGTGACTGTTCTATTTAAATAATATGCAAGGTATTGTGAGTATAAAACCTTGTTTTTAATTTAAATTTTAGACTATCACATGTCTCCAATATAGGTTTGTATTCACTGATACATATAAAGTTTAGCACTTTAAAAAAAAAAAAAAAATGGCCACCGATCATGTGACTGTTGTATCTAAATAGAATATGTAAGGTATTGTGAGTTTAAAACCTCGTTTTTAATTTTAAACTATCACATGTTTTACATATAGGTATGTACTCACTTACACATATAAAATGTAGCACTTTTGAGAAAAAAAAAATAAAAAAAAATTATGACATCATTTTGGCGCCATTTTCTAATATGTTCACTGCCTATATAAACCTGTATGTAACAGGATGTACTTTCTGATCTCCACTTGATAAAGCCTAAGGGCGAAACGCGTTGTGGTTTTTTAAACTATATTGTTTTAAATAAAGGTATTTTGGCCACTTTCTTACTGTGAGTTAGCCATCTTACTTTTTATTACTATTATTATTTTACTTTTTTATTACTACCATCCTTTTATCCGGCACAGAAGTGTTTTTACTTTCCAGTGAGGATATTACTCCCAAGAATCCTAGGTGGGGATTATACCACTCAAGCTGTATTCATTGAACAGTCAGTCTGTTCAACTAAATGTGAGTAACCACTTGGTTTTTTATCTTCTCACCTCTGGCATTTTATACTTTGAGCACCATTGTTGTTCCTGCTTTTATTTCCACATATGGTCCCCTAATCAAGAAAGAATACTAAGACCTCACGTATCCCATAAGTGGGGATTATACCACTGTACGTTATCAACACTAGAGCTAAGTCCATAGCTCTTGAAAACGTGAGTAGGACCATATACTCTTTTATTGCTTCTACCCCTTTCGGGACATACTATACCATCAGTTGTTATTTTCTCATTTCATATGATGTACAAAGACGCATCTACACCACTCTGAAGAATCCCCCACTACAAAAGACTGTATTCACCTCTACAAGGATATACCTCGTTGTTTGATTCATCTACCAGTCAGACTATTTATTCTGGACTTCTATTTTGCTTAGTATCTATCATATATATTGTATTCTAGTCTGCCTATTCTGTGCTCTTTTAATTTATGTGGTTTATAGTGGCGCTGCCTTCCTTTCTTTTTTCTGCAGTGAAGGTAAGGCTAAGATGGTTTGCAATAAAGGTAGAGCTGTAGAAAAAAAACATACTGCAGAGAAGGGGAGCCTCATGCTTTAGCCGCTATAGATTGCTGTGGTATGGGGTGTTTGTGTGAATTCTAGAAAACTATTACTTTTCTCACTTTGGAATCAAGTCAACAAAATGACAGTTTAATTATTCATGACTATTATGATATCTGGACTTTGTCAAACATTGTGAAACATGCAGTCCAAACTTGCTAAATCCTTCTTTGATCCTAATAAAAGTTTATTTTAAAATGCATTGAGGCAATTTCTCTGTTGCTAAATTCAGATGGGACAGAAATACTTTGGAGGCAGATTTGCTTCTATTTTTTTTTTTTTTTTGCTGTGTCCTCTGTTTGACTCAAATCTCCTATGCGATTAGCGCCTGGAAATAGTGAATTCCGAGTGCACTCCTTGAGGTGCAGGTTTTGATTTTAGGAAAGAGATATTCTCAGATTAAGCTGCTAGCTTTGTCAGTAGGTTTTATCTGAACTGCTATTTCCGTGTAATGGGCACAGAGAGGTCTGTTTTGTATATAGCTACAACATAGAACTAGAGAGCTTTACTTAGTGATATATTCAGGCGTGGAGAGCAGCAAAACATAGAATATATACTATTTATTTGAGGCTTACAGTAATACATTTCTGCCTTGTGTCTTATATGAATATTATTTGCTGACTTCTCCCAACCATAAATGAATCTCATAAATTAGTGACCTAGTAAAGACAAGAAACTAATTGAAAAATGTTGTATTACAGAAAGCAATCTCCTCACCTCCTGGAAATATCCCATCCAGCCACATCTCTGCAGGCAAGTCTAATAACATAATCGTCAGCTGTGTGTGAATAATTGGTGTGCATGGGATCTCTTGTTTTATTAGATTGCAAGAGCTGGCAGATTTCTTTAAAGGGGCACTAGAGTGTCAGGAACACAAACGTGTATTCCTGACACAATCCTTCTAAAACCACCGTCCAGCACTGCCCATGGCTCTTTGTGTCTGGCCCACCCCCCGATCCGCCTCCTTGGCTGACATAATCAGAATTGATGACTTCAGCCAATTTAATGTTAACCCACAGGAAAGCATTGAGATGCTATTGCGCATGCAGCACTGCGCCAATCAGCATCTCCTCATAGACATGCACTGAGTCATTGCATGGGCAAAAGTAACATCTCAAGGACATACTTGGAAACCCTGAGCATACTTTGTTGTTATTATCTCTATGGGGAACGTCCAGCATCTCCATGCAGAGCATAGAGACGCTGAACGACAGTGCTGCATATTGTGCAGAAGTGCCCCCAGAAAGAACCTCTAATGGCCGTTTGAGAAGTGACTGTAATGTAAGCATTCTCTGAAAAGGCAGTGTTTACAGCAAAATGCCTGCCGGGACTGACTATAGACACCAGAACAATTACATTAAGCAGTAGTTGTTCCGGTAACTATAGTGTCACTTTAACCTGCTTTTTAGTTTGCATTATGTTTTGTGATGAAGAATGAAACTATTCTGTAATGAGCTTTATTTTGCCTGTTCCAGTTATTCCAATTTATTTTCCCGTTCATCCCTTCACTGTGGCATTTTGGTTTGCTGCCTAGTCTTTCATCAAGTGGCTTTAATTACAGTGTTGAATAAGAAGTTCTCTCCTTGTAGCAAATTACCAAAATTCACCCCGTGTATAAGTAATAACAGTTTTCCTTACGTCTCCTGCAGCCACACATCATCCATAATTACAGTGGTGTTTAAAGGTCTAATGACAGCGAACATTCATGGGATTTATTCATTGTAGCTGGATATATCATACCCTTACCTTGCATTCATGATGCACTCCTGCCACTTCTCTAAGTGATCTTTTTCTTTTCTTTTTTTATTCCTGTCTTAGAATCTGACATGGCAGCAATTTTCAAGCCAGTTGATACTAACTGATCTGTGGAATTAATATGTATGCCCACAATACACAGGAGCTGCATTCATCTGCTCCATCAAAAAATTTAAATTGTAGTGAATCTGAGACGACTATAAAGCTGATCTGGATACTTGGGGTAGAATTTTAATTTGCAGAATTAACAAAAAGGCTAATTTGCTGTTGTGCAAGCATTTGTAACAGCGGTTAAGCAACTTTAACCTTATTGTATCTATTTTGTGACTTTAAATTAAAGAAACACTATAGGGTGAGGAACACATCCAGTATTCCTGACCCTTTAGTGTCAAAATCACCATTTAGGTGGCTTGCCCCCCACCCATTAGAAGGGGTTAAAACATACCTTATTTCCAGGGCCACCGGCACTGGCCCTCCCTCTGTAGGGAAAGCATTGAATTGGTGAAATTGACCAGGAGGCAGGGGCGAGGCCAAGCACTGTTTTGGTCAATCAGCAACTCCTCGTAGAAATGAATGAATCAATGCACCTCTGAGACATTTCAGCATCTCCATGCATAGCATGGAGACGCTGAACGGCAGTGCTGCCTACTGTGCAGCACTGCCCCAGGAAGCACCTCTAGTCGCCACCGGAGGTATCCCGAGGGGGCAATGATTATACTCACCAAAGCAAATATAATATGATGTAGTTCTATAGTGTTCCTTTAGGCAGTCTCCGTTCATAGGTTTTAATTAGGAATATTTATTGTGTTACTCACTAAACTGGGCATTGTAGCTAATTAACAAGGGAGTAACACATTTTAGACCAAACTTAAGCTGCAAACGTAGCGGAGTTGGATACTCTTTCCAATTCATTTTTTTTTTTTTTTTTGCCTGAAATTTACAGTTTCTGTACCAATTCTTGGCTGTTCTTTTTAACCCCTTCAGGACGGAGTCAATAGTGCACGTTCTGATCAAAACAAAACGTAAACAAAAACTGGAATTTTCGCTATATGTCTCTTCAACCATAATTCACCGCTGTCACATTAAGTGCACCCACACTTATATATCATTTTGTTCAGGAGAAACAGGGCTTTAATTTATCATTAAAGGACCACTCTAGGCACCCAGACCACTTCAGCTTAATGAAGTGGTCTGGGTGCCAGGTCCAGCTAGGGTTAACCCATTTTTTCATAATCATAGCAGTTTCAGAGAAACTGCTATGTTTATTAATGGGTTAAGCCTTCCCCCTAATCCTCTAGTGGCTGTCTCATTGACAGCCACTTGCTTGCTCAATTTGAAAATCACAGTGAGAGCACGCCAGCGTCCATAGGAAAGCATTATGAATGCTTTCCTATGTGACCGGCTGAAGGCGCGCGCATTCAGCCGAAGGGGAGGAGAAGAGGAGGTTCGGAGGAGGAGAGCTCCCCGCCCAGCGCTGGAAAAAGGTAAGTTTTATCCCCTTTCCAGAGCTGGGCGGGAGGGGGACCCTGAGGGTGGGGGCACCCTCACTGCACTATAGTGCCAGGAAAACGAGTATGTTTTCCTGGCACTATAGTGGTCCTTTAACTATTCATATATGGAACATAATTTATTATGAATAAAATTTAATAAAATGTGAGAAAATAAGATTTATTTTTTAAATTTGTATTTCCGTCTGACATTTTAGCTGTGAATGTCATAATACTGTTAGGTTTTACTGCAAAAAAAATGCACATATTTGTAATCAGAAATGTCTCACGAGTACATCAGTTCCCCCCATTAACAGGTTTTATTGTGTTTTGGAAAGTTACAGGGTCAAATATAGAACGTTCCATTTTCAAATTGAAATTTGCCAGATTAGTAATGTTACCTTTGAGACGGTGTGGTAGCCCAGGAGTGAGAATTACCCCCATAATGGCATACCATTTGAAAAAGTAGACAACCCAAGGTATTGAAAGTGGGGTATGTTTAGTCTTTTTTAGTAGCCACTTAGTCACAAACACTGGCCAAAGTTAACGTTCATATTTGTTTTTGTGTGAAAAAAGCAAAAAAAATTATATTTGGCCAGTGTTTGTGACTAAGTGGCTACTAAGAAAGACTGGCCATACCCCACTTGCAATACCAATGGGGGTAATTCTCATTCCTGGGCTACCATACGCTCTCAAAGACAACATAACCAATCTGGCAAATTTCAATGTCAAAAAAATGAAATTCAAGCCTTATATGTGACTCTCTAACTTTCCAAAACACCATAAAACCTGTACATGGGGGGTACTGTTATTCTCGGGAGACTTCACTAAACACAAATATTAGTGTTTTAAAACCGTAAAACATATTACAACAACAATATAGTCCATAAAAGTGCCGTTTGTTTGTAAAAAATGCAAATAACTTAACTTTTACTTAAAATATCATCGTTGTAATACAATTTACCAGTTTGAAACACTAATATTTGAGTTCAGCGAAGTCTCCCGAGTAAAACAGTACCCACTATGTACAGGTTTTATGGTGTCTTGGAGAGTTACAGGGTCACATATAGTGCTTGCGAATTAAATTCTCTGCACTTTCTCCCTGTGTTGTCAGGCATGTCAATCAAATTTTAATTCATCAAATCACATAATTATGTTAAAAGATTACTTAAATATACATGTAGAATTTTAATATATATGCATTTATAGGTACTTAAATTCTACGTGTATACTAATGTAATCTTTTTTATGTAATTATATGTATTTATATATATATTTGTGGTTATTTGTATTTTATATATAGATAGATATATATAGAATGTCATTCTAAGTGTATTTTGTTACCTATATATATATTAATAACAAAATACAGTTAGAATGAAATTACATATGAATATATAATTTATATTAAATTTTGTTTCAATATTTTATTTATTTTATTTATTTTAATTATACGTGTGTGTGTGTGTGTATATATAACGTCATTCTAAGTATTCTAATACTAGTATATGTACTTAATATTAAAATACATTACGTATGACGTTACATATATATATATATATATATATATATATATATATATATATATATATATATATATATATATATATATATATATATATATATATATATATTAATTATTTTTTTTTACCTTTCCCACTAGCAGGGGGACTGTCTGACATTTCAGACAGTCCCCCTGCTGGCAGATCCACAGCCAGCTATAGGGGGCCATGCGATCACTCTTTGAGAGCGATCACATGGCCCCCGGGGGCTTCTTTTGCCGTGGGAGGGCTGCCTGGGCTGTGAGGCAGTCCTCCCGAAGCAGAGCACCGGGTAGGTAAGTATCCCAGACACTCCAGGGCTCAAAGCCGTTACAGCGTTCTATGCCGTCGCAACGGCTTTAAAGCCCAATTAAAGCGGGACGGCATAGAACGCCATAAAGGCGTTAAGGGTTAATGAACACTCCTGACCATGAATTGCTTTTTCAAGGAGCCATCCCTCCAGACTCCAAACACTTGTCAAGCTCTCTTGGAAGAAATTTTTTTTTTTATATATATATGAAGAGCAAACTTTTAAACTTGCGTATACTCACACAGTTACCAGATCACATTTACTTTATGTACACCATACCAATGTTTCATATTGTGAGGCTATGCATGAAAAGCCTTACTGGAGGTATTCATAATTTGGAACAGAAAACTATTCCAGCCTGGCTCCCAAAAGAAAAGTTAAGTTTTAATTTTTGTCTTTCTGCTTCAGTGGACATCCCCTATTATCATGGTATTTATTCACTTAACATTTAAAACGACATCTATAAAATGTATGACAAAAAAGCTGGGAAGTGCAACTGGGTGTTCCATTTCAGTAATTTTGGCCTAGATTTTGTGTATTTACTACAATTATCTGCATAGTGATTAAACTTATAAGCTCATGTGCACCTACCTTTGTGCTTTAAATGTACAAGCCACAAGAATGTGCCAGGCTTGAATTTAAAGCAGCACTGTCACTGACTGTTCTTTGTCCCTCACACCGATACATTGTGTTGTAGTGTTTATTGAAGTGACTAAAACTGCACACATGCCATGTTGGCTACACTACAAATGCAGCACAACCTATAGCTATCTTTAACTTAGCTATTCAATTTTACACAAATGTCAGTAATGACAGTTACATAGTTACATGGCTGGAAAGAGTCAGTACAGTTCAGCCTTCCTTACCTATGTTTTTGTTGTTGATCCAAAAGAAGACAAAAAACCTAGTCTGAAGCGCTTCCAATTTTGCAACAAACTAGGAATAAATTCATTCTTGACCCCAAAATGGCAGTCGGATATCTCTTTGGATCAAGGAGGTTTTCCTCCCTCTTCTATATGGGTATTTTCTTGTTTGTTTTGGTTTCTTATTTGGGGGGAGGGGCGGGGTAATGTTTGCATAAAAAGAAACTAATTTTGTTTTCTTGCCAGTTTAATACCCAGCCTTCTGTTTTACTTTATTCTTTATGCTTCCTTATTGATGTTATTGTTTTTTCACTTTAGCAATACAGAGTTCTTCCGAAGATGAAAGTGACAGTGAGCTAGTTAACTCACAGGTACTGATGCTTCTATTCTTCCTGCCATAACATCTTGTGACATTTGTTGTGTCTCTACCATTTCAATGCATGTATTATTTCCAAACACTTAACCTCTTAAGGACTGAGCCAAATGTACACGTTTATGTAAACAAATGTAAACAAAAACTTGAATTTGCGCTATATGTCTGTCCAACCGTAATTCACCTCTTTCATATTATGTGCACCCACACTTCTTATATATCACTTTATTCAGGGGAAACAGGGCTTTCATTTAACATCAAATATTTAGGTATGTAACATAAATTAATATAAATAAAATATTAAATGGGAGAAAATAAGAATTTTAAAAAAATAGTTCTGCGTGACATTTTAACTGTGAATATCATAATACTGTTTGCTTTTACTGCAATAAAATACACATATTTGTATTCAGCAATGTCTCGCGTGTAAAACAGTACCCCCTATGTACAGGTTTTATGGTGTTTTGGGAAGTTACAGGTCAAATATAGCATGTTACACATTTCTGTTTTTTCACATTGAAATTCGCCAGATTGGTTTCGTTGCCGTTGAGACCATATGGTAGCCCAGAAATGAGAATTACCCCCATGATGGCATGCCATTTGCAAAAGTAGACAACCTAAGGTATTGCAAATGGGGTATGTCCAGTCTTTTTAGTAGCCACTTGGTCACAAACACTACACAAACACTGGTAACCCGTGGCAACGCTCTGACGGCTGCGGGACTCGCAAGATTTATTCTGGGGGGGGGGCTGAAGGGAAGGTAAGTAAGAGGACCGCCAGGCTTGTCATGCTTTCCTATGGATATTGGCGTCTTCGCACTGTTAAAATCACAGTGAGAAGCGTCTTTAGCGGCTGTCAATGAGACAGCCACTAAAGGCTGGATTAACCCTAATGCAAACAGCAGGGTTAACCCTAGATGGAACTGGCACCCAGACCACTTCATTGAGCTGAAGTGGTCTGGGTGCCTATAGTGGTCCTTTAAAGGAACACTATAGCGTTAGGTATACAAATAGTGCCCTATTGGCCTTTAGGTGATCGATCCTCACCTGCATGGAATAAAAAAAGATATTTTACTGATCTTTTTTCCCCCTTGCTGCAGCGGTTTCACAAGGAAACTCTGCCTCCTTCTCTGAGATCATAGAGATCGATGATCTCAGCCAATCCAATGCTTTCACATAGGAAAGCATCAGGAGGCTAGTGCATATGCGCGGCAAAATGCGGTACTGTACCGGTCATATGGTAACTCTGAGACCATATGATAGAAATAGTAGTGTATTTATCTATTTGTTCAGAAGTGCCTCTGTATTTCAAAGGCTAATTTACATGTGGAGTAACTATAAAGAAACATAATATAGTGTTGTAATACATTACAAATTCAGTAGAGTACAGCAGTGTTGTATTTTTTTATTTTATTTTTGTTATTTAAAGTGGCACTGTCACCCCCATATTAAAAATGAAGCTTAAATTATTTTATGAAATACTCTTTATGACTGAGATAGAAATTCACTGAAATTTCAACCCAGTCCAGAGATACTCCGAGACAGTGTAGGGACTACTTTATCTCTGTATTTTTCTTCTCTGCCTGACTTTCTTTGACAAAAGGTGCAGTCTAATAGTCAATTTCCCCATCTGTCACCAGTGACAGCTGCAGGGAATTTGGAGACCTCAATGTGTACAATTCCTTACCTGCACCTCTCCCCCCCTGTCCCACCACCCCAAGCGGTAAGAGTGCCACATTAAGGTTTGTATTGTATTGAATTTGTAATAATTCTGTTTTCTATATTTGCTCCACATGTAACATTGGCCTCTGATATTAAAGGAAGTCCCTTTGTATACTGTGCGTATGTATCTTCAGTAATTTTCTGTACATATAGGTTGTGTATTCTCTTTTTATTTAGAACTGAATAGTTGTCTGCCCTTCTTGCTGTCTTTTTATTTTTAAGGGTTATTCCAAGCAACATGCTTTTATAAGTGGTCATGGTGGTAGGAGTCAATATGTTCAGTTTTTCTGATTGAAATAATACTGCACATACTGAGATATTGGCACTTGTGTGCCGGGGCTAGTTGCACACCTGCCATATATCAGTTCTGTAAATGAAGTGATTGTCATCACTGCACACTGGCAGTGAACATATTGAGTTTCTTGGTAGTCCCCTTCTTCCCTTCTTGTGTGCAGCCCTTCCGCCTACCCAGTTGGAAGTACACAGAACTTCCTGTGTCTCTTCCCATTCCCTCTTTCCCTCCCATTGCATTCTATTTGAGTCAGTTAAATGGTCCCATCAGAGGCTTGTTTGTGAGAAGTTTTTGATTGGACCTTTGTGCGGCTGATGTGACGTCAGGAAGGAGAGTGGAAATCTGCACCAGGAGCTTCTTTGCCCAGCACTGGATTCAGCAATATCTTTTTTTTTTTTTTTTCTACCTCCTTTATAGTTATATTGGTGGGGAACCTCAAGAATAATACCAAATAGGTAATTATTCATTAAAAAAAATAAACATTAAGAAAAGATGAAGTAATCTTTTAAAGTGTTTCGGAAAAAAGGTGTTAATTCTCTTAGCCAATATCCTTGGTTTAAGCTTTCAAACTTCCGGTTCTCCATTACAAGTTCTATTAATGCTTGAAGGCCATTCGTTATCCCTAACTATTCCGGAAACTTACTTCATGTGGAGGTTAAATGTCAGGAATATAAAATCCTTCCATTTTATGTATTTTTTTTAGGAACATGTTGGCCAGCAGACTATTAATAGGAGCATTATGGTTCTCCTTTTCTTTATTCTCTCAGGCACTCCTCAAAACACCATTGCCCGCACAAGCCTCCTCACCGAAAGTAAAAACGGACAAAAAGAACAAACAAACTTCAGCTCCTAACAAAGAAAAGAAAAAAAACAAATCAAAACCCAAAGGAAAGCCTACAGCCACACCTGCTCAGCTTTCAAGTAAGTTACCATGTTATGTATACTTTTACAAAAATGTATTTTATTTTTTTGCTTTTTCTTGTTGGACAGAGTTTTTTTTTCAACAGCAAATACCTTCAAATACAAATATTTATTTTCAATGTACAACTTAGAGACTAATTCTGTGGTTTTACGTATAGCAAAGCAAGCCTATTTTTGCAAAGCATAGCCTATCATTGCTGTCCAAATTTGTATGCCTAATGTGAGACACATGATCTCAGCAGGAGAAAAGGTTCAAATTGGTTGTGTAAAACTCATAGGGACTACACCATGTGCATTAAAGCAAACTGTATTGGTCGGGAGGCAGTGCGTGCGCATTAGGCCCTTCCCATATGAGGATTTCACTGACAATGGATGTTCTCATGCAGAGCGTGAGGACGTCCAGCATTAGTTAGACAAATTGGAGTCCGCTAAACTCCTGGAAGTGCCTCTAATGGCTGTCTGGTAGACAACCACTAAGCCAGTCTTAGTCCTGCAATGTAAAAATGAGTTTCTTATACAGCAATATTTTCCATTGCAGGAATAAGTGAGACCACGACATTGCACCCCGATGACTTCAAGGCGCTGCAGTAGTCTGGGTGCCTATCGTGTCTCTTTAAAAGAGCACTACAAGCACCATAACCACTACTGCTTTAGTGGTTATGGTACCATGAGTATCCCCTGTGCCTTCCCATTGTAAGTAGTCATAACTCTTTATGAATGGCTTGAATTCTTTTCTGAAATGGGGTTGCAGAATGCCTTTTCCAACCTGCACTAACAACGCTGGACAGCTAGTAGATCTTCAACAGGGCAATGTAGGCAGCAGGGGTGTGGCAGGGCACCCCTAGCACCATAACCTACAAAGAGCTTTAATTGTTATGGTGCTTGGAGTGTTCCTTTAAATAATGCTGTATCATTTACTTAAATTGTGAAAACCATAGCCAAATACTCCTCAAAAATTACCTACTTCTGTGACTGATTTGAATCTCATCTGCTTATCATCCACTCTAGTGCTTGAATCTGAAGAGGAGACTGTGCAAGCCTTGCTGGAAGGAAGAAGTCCCAAAAAAAACAAGGTAAAAAATGATGGATCAAAGAAGAAAGTGTCAACATCAAAGGTGGGGACTGCCCCAGTACTCCCTGAACAGGACCATAATAAGCATGGATTGACTCCCGCTCTTCCACAACCACTCCTACCAGTGACTGTCACACCTCTCCCGCAATCTGAAAAGAAGAGCAGTAAGAAAAGAAAACTCCCCACAGAAGATGGACTTGCCAAGAAGAAAGCCAAACTTGACAAAAAAGCAAAGAAGGAAAAGAAGAAAGGAAAAAAATCTAAAATGGTTGAGGGAGAAGCAGGAGTCTTGGAACCTAAGGCTAAATCCTCCAAAAAGGACAAAAAGAAACCTGATAAAAAGTCAAAGAAAAGTATGTATTTTTTTGTTTGAGAGAACAATCATTTAAGGTGCTGCAGAACAAAAAATATACAGCCTAACAATTTGCTCATCATTTTCAGCAGACAGTTACTTGGTTTAAAATCAAATAATTGTTTTTTTATTATTACATAATGTTATTTAACTAATGACAAGGGCTGTTTTGTTCCTTAAAGAGTAACTTTGGCTCCTTAACAACTTCACATCAATAAAGTTATGTTATGGAGTCCCTGCATGCCATCTTACCTTACAGTGCTAAGGCTTTTTCAAATGGTCTAATAAAAAGGTTCTGTCCCCTGGTGCCCATCATATCACAAATCTATCTTTTCATGCAAAAGCTGGTGCTCTCAGCCGGTCACTCGCCTCCCAAGCCAAAGCTTTCCTATAATACGAGCAGCCCAGGAGAGAGGAGTGAGGATGCGGCTTGATAGGCACCTGCGACATTACTTTGGAATTAAACACTGGAAAAAACATTTAACACTAATAGATAAGATGGCACAAGTAGACTTCAGAACCCATGACCACTTCATTGAGATTTAAGAACAAGAGCAAAATTATTTGTTCAAAAGTAATTTCCCTCTTATTAAATTCACAAACCCACATTATACCAAATGCAAAGGACTCAATTTTGCTTTCTTTTTTTCTTTTTATACCCAATCTAAATATATAACTCATTTAGTAGAGGGAAAATTGGGAGGGGGTAATTTTCAGTTATACTTGTTAGAATTTCATTACTAGTGCTGCAAAAGAAAAAACATGTAAATATATGAAAATTCGAGACATATGAGGTCTCAAAATCCGCACACATGGATTAATCTTCATTTTACACAGTTGCGGGTCATATATCTTTTTTACAGCTGGGCATTTTCAAATTTTGAGATGTGGAATATTTAACATAATAGTTGTCACTGTGTTTATGTCTTAATATATAATGTAGTTTATAAAAAAGACAATTTAAGTATTAATCTATGGAACGTCTTATGCTTTTGATGCAGTCATGTGACCAATCTCTGCCAAAAAAAATAGGTAACATCCTGCTTTAACACATTCAGGGACAACATTGAATTTTTGTTAGGAATTTTGTAAACCCGATTTATTCTACTATGGTGATATCCACAAAAAAGTGTTCACTGAGAAATTATTGGGTAGTTGCGTAGGCCACCATTTTGAACTGGTGTAGTGTAAAGGGCTAGCCGATAAACTTTTTGGGGAATAAGATGGGCATGTTCTGCACCTAAACCTCTTTCACCCACAGTCATTTTAAAGTAAGAGGCATGTGCAAATAAAAATATATATATTTTTTTTTTGTGTGAGATACTCATCCCTTTGCTGCTATATAATACAATGATGAAGGGATTACGTTTTCTTTGTGTCACTTAAAATTGCAGGGAATGAGAGTAGACTACCTGTGTTGGAAATGGATTCATTTTTCTAATTTTCTTTATATAAAATTTACATACAAAAGGAAATTACAGCATATGCATAGTTGAGAAAAAGCTTTTATGTGAGAAAAACATCCATACAGTAGTATGAAATATACATTCCAAATACTGTAGTGATGCCATTGGGGTGGCACTAGTAGTATCCTAGAGTGTGTTTTTTTTTTTTTTTTTCCCTCCACCTTTTTTCTCTTTGATTCCTTTCACTCTCCAAATCCCGGTGTTTCACTCTTAAAACCATTAAAGAACACTAAAGCTTTAAGTAATAAAAAGCTGCTTTCACCATGACCATCCAATCCAGTGCTTCTCTTAGAGGAGCATTGTGGAGGAGTCCCATGTATGTGGCCAATGAAATGCTTCTGATAGAATCCAGTGCTTCTATGGACTGCATTCGATGATGTTTGACATCTTCATAGACTTTGAACATGACTTGACCGAGTGAAACTCCATCATTGCAGTGCAAGTGCCTCTAGTGGCTGTCAGGAAGAGGCGTGTCTAACCAATCAATAATACCATATCTACTAAAACCTTTTTTTTGAAGGGCTAAAACTAGAGGGGCACTGCACCCGCTCCAATTGAAAAAAAATTTGCCCTTCCTTAAAGGAACCCTCTGGGCACCAACACATCCTACATGAATTATATGAGCTTTGGCCTCATATTTTCCCCATGTTCAAATGTCACCACTCATGCTTTCACAAAACATTCTTCCTGATGCTGTGTAGTTTAGCCAATGAGAGATCAGTGTGAACTGAACTACTGACCTGAGTCGATCCTACAGCCAGTCACTGTTCTCTTATTATCTGTATCTGTTTCGATGCCCTGCTGGTGGGAAAGGAGACATATAATAGGACATTGGATGTGAGCTTCGGTCATGTCAACAGCTCTGCTTACACTGATCTCTGATTGACCGAGTTGAGTAATTACAATCAGGAAGAGGTGTTGTGAAAATGGACGGTGTCTAAGAGAATGGCACTATGCCTTATAAAGCTGAGAAACTTAAATGTAAGGGAGTGCACACACGTGTTGAAGCTAGTATCACTAAAAGCTATTTGAAAGCATGAGTATTTAAGTGTCACTGCACATTTTTTTTTTTTTTTTTGTTCACTGGCTTCGTAAATTAAGCATATTGGAATTAATTTATTTGTTCTGTATTGTTCTTACAGAAAAGAAGGAATCCAAAGACAAGAAAAAGAAAAGCGGAGAGAAAACTGACCCAGAAGCTGCACAAACTGAGGGGTCACACATTTCTAGTACTGACAAAACGTCTAAGCCTAAGAAAAAGGTAAGTATTCTTTTATAATTCAGAACAATGCGTGTTGCTGTGCAACAGTAGATTACCCAACAAACTCTATAAACAGAAAAGTAAAGTTTTAAAGTAATATATATTTTTTTGTTTGAAGCAGTATATATTTGTGTATATGTATATATACTACATATAAGATCCAGTGCACACGCTCATTCACTAAACAGCAATTTCAAGTCTCACAGAATGTAATAATTTAATTTAAAAACACCTCACCAAAAATAATGCGGGTTTAGTTACATTATATGATCACACATTGCATAAGCCTGCCACACCGTCAATGTTCCCCATTCTTGGCAGGTCCTACTCTAGCAGCCTAATGCATGATCTTATGAGATTAACCCACTTACTTGGGAAATGCTTCTTAGTGGTCAAGGTTAAATATGGTCCTTGAATGAGGCACCTGTGACAGGGAGAGGTGCAAAACTATATCTGTATGTATATGTATGTGTGTGTGTATATATATATATATATATATATAAATATAAATATAAATATAAATATAAATACACAAGATCCAGCGCACTCACCTATACACTAAACATCAACTTCAGTGTTGAAAGATTTTATTATTTTTTTGTTTTTTGTTTTGTTATGTTTGTTTTTTAAAACACCTAATCTAGGCAAAAATAATGGGGGTTTAGTTACATTATATGATCATACATTGCATAAGCCTGCCACAACGTCAATGTACCCCATCTTATATATATTAGTAGACATTCGTTGTCACTACGGCAATGTGATAAGGAAAACTTGTGATGCATAAAACGGGCTAATACCTAGATGGGAATTGGTACCTAAATGTAACTTAAGAAAAATTGTCAACTGATGTTTTTGGTGAATTTCGCCCTAAGACTGTGTGAAAAATTCAGAGCAACTGGAGCCCTAGTGCGTTTATCCACCTTAAATTCAGCATATATTCTCAAATATTGTTGCATGTTGCAAGTCTTTTCCTTTGCCAGTTTTTAATATTTGCCTCTGGAAGCTCAATTCCAGCCAGATTGAGCAGAGCTTTCTGCCAGACTGGGACATAGGTTATGTGACTTTTTTGTTTGAGACATACAAAATCCAGTGACTTGTAGATGTAAATTTTTAGTTTGCATATTTATCTATATTTTTATTTTAGCTAGTAGATAATTTCCATCTCCCTTTTTCTTTCCCCTTAAATATAAACTATCATGCTCAGTGACATTGAATAGCCATCGAGAACTTTTATTCGAATTAGGTAGATCGTGTGAATCTTAATCAGTCCTTCTGGGTTGGTAATATTTACCCCTTTTGATGTCATTTTATATAATATTTTGTAATTTGTATATTATATTTATATCTGTATGTGCATTGTAAATCTAAAATTACAGCCCGAAACAGGTTTTCATTGCTGCATGACCATTCAGAATATGCTTATGATTTTAAAAATAGAAATTCTCAAATAATTTTCAGCTCCCAAATATGATTAAAACATCCCACAACTCATAATTATATTGGACTAGTAAAGAGTAAAAACATGTACATATCCTCCACACTTAAATGGAGACTGAATGATTCCTGAAAGAAAATGTAATTGTGAATCAATTTACAAAAAAAAAGTTTTAAATAACTTTTTTCACAGCTACGCTACACAGAGTGCCTGGCAGGAAGGAGCACTGTGCACCCACCTCCTGCCGGTCACTCTGATCTAGCGCCCCCCCGGGACTGTGTGCCCTAAGGCGGCTGCTTGTTCCGCCTTATTGACGTGCCGGCTAGGGATCGACCGATATTGATTTTTTTTTTTTTTAGAGCCAATACCGATATTCTGTGAACTTTCAGGCCGATAGCCGATATAATTTGCCGATATCCTGTACATTTACCATTTTGGAAAATAAAAACTATTTCTAAAGGTAAATGCACAAAATATACATGCCACGTGTAGTGGATGCAGTGTGTGTTTGTGTAGTGTGTGGGTAGTGTGCGTAAAGTGAATGCAGTATATACTAAATGCAAAGTGTGTGTGTGTGTGTGTGTGTGTGTATATAATGAATGTAGTGTGTTTATATCATGCAGAGTGTGTTTGTATAGTGTGTATATAATGCAGTGTGTTTGTGTAGTGTGCATTATATAAACACACTATGCAAACACACACTGCATTATATACACACTACACACACTGCATTATATACGCACACTGCATTATATACACACACTACACACACACACACTGCATTTTATACACACACTACACAAACACACTGCATTTTATACACACACTACACAAACACGCTGCATTTTATACACAGTGGGTATGTGTATATAATGGAGTGTGTGAGTGAGGGGGCATTTTTTATTAAAACATTTTTTTTTTAAATATTTAATTATTATTTTTGTTGTCCCCCCTCCCTGCTTGTTGCCTGGCCAGGGAGGGGGGATATGACAGTCCCTGTTGGTCCGGTGGCATTGGCTGAGCTGTGGGGGGGTGGAGAGCAAGCACTTACTCACCTCCCAGCAGCTCCCCAGTGTAACTCTTGCGTGTCGCGCGGAGCGTTGCCATGGTAATCCATGGCAACGCTCTGGCGGCCGCGGGTCTTGCGAGAGTTACACTGGGGAGCTGGAGGAGCTGCTGGGAGGTGAGTAAGCGCTTGCTCTCCTTATTTTGTGCATTTACCTTAATAAAAAAAAAATTTGCGAAGAAATAAAAAAATGTTCAGTTAACATTTGATTTGTGTAGAAATTGTTTATTTTTTCAAAATGGTGAATGTACAGAATATCTGCAAATTATCGGCTTTCGGCCTGAAAGTTCAGTTTAACCGGTATCTGCTCTAAAAATTCAATATCGGTCGATCCCTAATTATTAGGCAACATATAGAATCTGGACATCTTGCATCAACCTCAATCTCAATCCCTGCTATCATTGGCTAACATAGGCAGATGAGACTTACAGTTTTTATCTAGTGACATGACGCATGGACACAATGAGATGTTGGTCCGTTCATTTTACATACTTTTTAAATTTCAACTCCATGTTTTTCAATAATCAAATGGTTGTTTTTTTTAATAGTTATTGTATAGTTTTTATTAAGATCATACATATTGACTCTGCAAGCTCTGTTTAGTTTAATCAATGTAGTGTTGCGTGCACTGTGCACTTACTGGGCTTTATGTAACCCACCTCAACACACTTTTTTTTTTGTTTGTTTTGTTTTTAGCATAATTGACATATACGAAGTAAGTTAAAGGGATACCTTAGTCACCCACACCACTTCAGCTAAATGAAGTGGTCTGGGTGCAATGTCCCTCAGGTTTTAACCCTTCAGATGCAAACATAGCAGTTTCAGAGAAACTGCTATGTTTACATTTGGAGTTAAGCCAGCTTCTGGACAACCACTAGAGGCGCATCTGCCACGCTGGAGGCATATTATACCTCCATCGCACAGAGCGTCCATAGGAAAGCATTGAGAAATGCTTTCCTATGGACACTTTGCGCACGTGGCACTTGCCGTGCATGCGCATTTGGATCCACTGACGGCGGGGGAGGACAGGTCACCAGCACCGAGGGTGCCCAGCGCTGGAATAAGGTAAGCTGCTGAAGGGGTTTTAACCCCTTCAGCGCCACAGGAGGGGAACCCTAAGGGTGGGGGCCTCCTCAGGGCAATGTATATATATGTATATATGTATGTATATGTATATATATGTATGTATATGTATATATATATATATATGTATATGTGTGTGTGTTTTCAAACACTGTCTGGCCCAAGGTGCATGTGTATAAGTGAAGGATCCTGTCATATACTAAATAACATGTAAAAAAAAAATCTATTTCGGTTCAAAACCTGATGAGAGGATTATTTGAAACAATAGGTTTTAAGTGACAGTTGTCCTTTAATAAGTAAAAAGCAGCCAATAGTAGTTTGCCTGTTATCAGCCTATACACAACCCTGTTTACAGTTTTGTGAATGGCCTCGTGTATATTGTGATCACTTTAACCAGCAACATTACATGTGTACATCTTCAGCACAGAGCTAGAGGCGAGGAGAGAGTTGTGCATAAGTTAAGTGGATCCTCGTCGAAGGATTCCAAGTTCTTAAACCTTTGTAATGTGCATAACTTATAAGAGGCCTTAATGGAACACTATAAACACCATAAACGGTTAAACCGTTTATGAACAGCTTTACTGCCAAAGTTGTGAAGATGGCTCCCATTTGCTTAACGTGCTGGCTTCAGTGAGGTGCCCGGAGTGTTCTTTTAATTGGCCTTTAAGCTATATCCGTTAAAGATGTATTATAGTGTGTGTGTGTGTGTGTGTATGTATATATATATATATATATATATATATATATATATATATATATATATTGTACAAAATGTTTTCTTCGAAATGTACTTTCTAAAGTAATTCACATCTAACATTAGAATGTATTGATATGGGATGTTGTAGAAAATAATTGACCTTTATGTATTATAACCACTGACACGGTGAGTTACCCGAGACGTAATGACTGCATTCTGTCATTGTGTTTCTTTGTTTGAATCCATGTTATTTAATTACCTCCCTTTTTCTGTGTATCTCTGTTTTGCTTTTTCTTTTGTAAATTCTTTGATCGCTCTGTTTCACATTTGTTTTTAACTTGAGCCAGCCTCTTCTTCAGAGGAGGTCACTGCTGTTCTCATTGTCCTGGCATCCAACAAAGAGGCCAAAGCGGAAGAGAGGCAGGAAGAAAAAAGAAAGTCATGGCACTGTCTTCAGAGCCGCAAAATTAAATAGAGCATGATGTCTTCTTAAGGACTGTTTTTCATAGAGATGGTTTTCTGTCCTCTACTTTTTTTCTTTCATTTTTAAAATGTCTTTCAAAGATAATCTAATCAATCACTTAAGATTTGTTTTGTTCTATTTCTTTTTAATTGTATCTAGCAATTCCTTGTGGACGGTTTAGTTTGAAATGTCTTTTTTTAGTAAATGTTTAATATTGTTTTTTATGTTTAATAGCTTTTTTCACTTAAAGTAAGGTGTCTCACCATTTAAATAATTCTGGATGTAGTTTTTTAAGTGAATGTATTTTTTGAGTTTGAGTCCTCTATATTCTGTATTCTCTGTTCATCCACCTGTATTGGCAATCCTGCAGTACTCCACTGTACGTTATAATTTATATGTTTTCTATTTAGAGTTTCTGTTACAGTGTAAAAAGAGAACATCTTCAGCTCCCTAAACAATAGCATAAAGGGGTACTAGTAGGTTGGGCATGTTTCACGTGAAGCACATTCTCAACATTCCCCTCTTTTTTTGGTAATTATGTTTTTTATTTTATTTATTTTTTAATAAATATATTGCAGGGGTCCGCAACCAACTATACATGGGCCTTATATGGTACGCCCCTTGCAATTTTCAGCTGCGCAAAGGGGGGTCGGTGCAAAATTAAGGACCGCAAAATCTGCCCCATGCTTTATGGATTTCATAATGGCAAAGTAGGCACCTACCTATCAGCACGGAATGTGCTTACTCTTCCTATATAGGATATCATTTGAAGGGTAAGCTGTACACTTCCTGTTTAGTTCCCTTGTAGTAGTGCCAGCAGCTTGGATGAGACGTCTCTTCAGCCCCCTTTCACAACTGTGGAAGAGAATAGTGCTCCCAGGAGTCTCATTGGACCCCACACATAGGACCCTTACAGTTTTCCCAGCATTGGCGGAGAGACTGGGTGGACCTCATAAAAAAACTAATTTAAATCACACGTGTCTTTGATTATGTATCTGTTTTATAGCTACCTAGTTTGCTATTCTTAAATATGGCACTGCTGAAAGATCAAAATTAGAAAAAGGTCTTTTTAAAAAATATATATATATTTATATATATTTCTCAGCTGTTTAGTAGATAGATCACAATATGGTATCCTTGTATATGGCAATCCCACATAAGGATATCAAATTAGAAAACAATCTACTTTTATCTTTTTCTTTTTAGCTATAAAGATATAGGCAGCCCTCCATCCACTTACAGACATGGCATCAAGCATTCATGCGTAAAAAGGTAGCTGACTCGTGGTCTTAAGGATCAGTTGTAATTTTTCTGTATTCCATATAAAACAAAAAAAAATGTGCATATATAGACTAAAGGTGTGGAAACTGTGTATATATGAAAAAAAAAATCTACTTGTCCAGACTTGGTCTGACATACAATAATTTCAGATTGAAATCGCAGCTTATAGCCCTGGACATAGACCAGGTTTCGCAAATAACTCTGAATTTTCACAAATTAGCTCAAAATAAAAAACTGCGACACAAAAGTGGTTCTGGAAATATTGTCCAAAACCGCAATAGTAACATTTTACCTTACATTCAGATTTAGTTTGTGAAAATCCAGTTTAGTGTATAACCCTGAGTGTTTCACCCTCTGTGGGTGTGAGTGAATGTGTGTATGTGTGCTGGGTATTTGGTGTGTACTTGCTTTGTGTAATGTGTCCTTGTTTCTCTGCCACCAGACCCCCAATAGTATATCTTCCCCATTCTTTCCATTAATGTTGCTGCCTGTAGCCAACATCATTAGTGTGCCTGCCTCTAGCCTGTTCCCATTAGTGCGTCTGCCCCTAACTCACCCCATCATTGTCTTTACCACTGCCAAAACTCCCATTAGTATCTCTGCAACTTAATTGCCCCGTACGTTCCCTGCCCCCAGTGCACCTCCATTAGTGTCTGCCTCTAACCCACCCACATTAGTATCACTGCATCAATCCTCTCCCATTTGTGTCTTTGCTTATAACTCTCTTAGTCATTCTGTGCATGAGCTAAAACACTCCCTTAATGCATTTGTACAATTAAAAAGTTAAAGTAGAGGTCAATTACATTTGAAATATGTATGCTAACAATAATGACTTGGTATTTAATTAATAGGGACTTGGTAAATAAAATGAGAGCAAAAAATACTTCTCTTCTCATCTTTATTAACGTTAGAAGGGAACCACCACATTTCTGTAAATACTACCGTTGAATAAAACATTGAAAAATCACCTATAACTTGTGTTAACATTTTTTCATTGTTTTTTTTTTTTTTTTTCGTCATTCTAAATTTAGAATAAATGTTAATTTACATCACAATCCAGTTCACTCAAGGCATAGCCAAGGCACGCATTGCAAATAAGGAAGAGAAATAGCAACATGTTTTAGTTTCTACTCCTCTATGTATGCTTTCTTTATGCTGGGTACAAAGGACAGAACTTATAGCAATAATTACAGGGAGTGGAGATGGTGGTGCCCTGTTGTAGGATAAAGGAGTGAATGACTTTTTATAATTTTTCATGTCACAAATACATATTAACTATACAGGATAATAGATATATTAAAGGGACACTATAGTAACTTGAGCAATTACAGGTTAGTGTAGTTGTTCTGGTGTCTAAAGCCTGTCCCTGTAGGCTTTTTAATGTAAACACAGCCTTTTCACAGAAGTTAAATAAAAGTTAAAAACGGTTTACAATTAAATAATATATACTTAAATCATACAGTATATATGATCTAAGTATATATATTTACACTTAGTGTATTTTAATATTAATATATCTTAAAATACATGTAGAATGATATTAATTAAATGTATAGTGTGTGTGTGTGTGTGTGTATATATATATATATGTTAAATATAATTGTAAAATGTGTAATTGTGTAATCTGATATTAATATATAGATATATATATCAAAATTCACTTAGAACAAAATAATACATATATCTATATAACACTTTGACCAGTGTTTGTAACTAAGTGGCTACTAAAAAAGACTGGACATACCCCATTTGCAAAAGTAGACAACCCAAGGTAATGAAAATGGGGTATGCCATCATTGGGGTAATTCTCATTCCTGGGCTACCATACAGTCTCAAAGGCAACGTAACCAATCTGGTAAATTTCAATGGGAGAAAAATTTAAAATGCTATATTTGACCCTGGAACGTCCCAAAACACTATAAAACCTGTACATAGGGGGTACTGTTTTACACATGAGGCATCGCTGAGTACAAATATAATACTGTTAGCTTTTACTGCAACAAAATACACATGACATTCACGGTTAGAATGTCATGCAGAACTAAATAACATTTCTTAATTTCTCACATTTTTTTATATTTTATTCATATTAAATTGATTCATAGCTGAATATTTGATGTTAAATAAAAGCCCTGTTTATCTTGAATATAATTATATATAAGAAGTGTGGGTGCACTTGATATTAAAGAGGTGAATTACGGTTGAACAGACATATGGTCAAATTCCAAGTTTTGTTTAAGTTTTATTTTGATCAAAACGTGTACATTTGGCTCAGTCCTTAAGGGCTTAAAATGACTGCAGATGGGTAACTCTTCTCCCAGATGTCACCAAAACTGCCAACCAGGAAGCATCTGAGAATTGCTTGATCTTTAACTTGTGGTGGGCAATTTTCAGCATACAAAATATACCGTGCTCTAAAATTAAGTGCAATGTACTTACAAACATTTTTTTTGTCAAGTTGTTTGTAATTATCTGACCTACAAAAAATAATTCCAGAAATCCTAATAGGGCCATTATCATGGTAACCATAGCAATGTTTCTCACACAGTTTTAGCACATTGCCAAAGTAATGCTCTATAAATAGCCCTGTGTCTATTCAGTATCCACCAGTTAGCAACAATATCACCTACTAACGCCCTGAGGATGGTAAATGTATTTTGGGCCACACACACGTTTACAAAACTTAGATTGTCAGAATTTCTTAAGCCATGTTCCCATAATTGTTTCATTCAGCAGGATCATCACTACAAAATATTTAATCCCCAATTTCATCTTTGATAACGTTTCTTTAAATAATTTTTAAGCCGGTTTGCAGCAGAGTGCTCAATTTGAGGATTACTTCTGACAGGTCTAATGTAATATTTAGTAGAAATAGCTGCATTTAGAGAAACCGTTTTAAATGGAATGTAAAGATAACTAATAACTTGCCACAGAAATATGGCTCCACGTGATATTTACTAACACCGGGCAATTGAGTTATGTTAGTAAGTAAATTCTGAAATCAACAATGGTCCCCTCAAGAGAATTTCTACACATTCATGGAATCTCTGAATGCTGTGACTGAGTCTATTATTTACAGTTATCTTGACAATAAACACAACGGAAGCAGTGCAAAATGACAAGTGTACATCTTCCAAGAGCGAAAGAAAAAATGGAAAACTTGGTGTCAATGGGGATCGCACCACAGAGCCCAAAGAATACCTACTTTCATTGAATTGTGCATTTTAAAATACAAGATAGGACTTGCCTAAAACTATCCCGCGTTATACTGGATTTCCTAAGATCTTAATCTGCCCCTACAAACCAGGAAGTGTTCAAACTGTCAGTTCTTGGTCTCTTACATTCATTTAGAACAAATGTAGGCAACCTTAGGCTCTCCAGATGTTGTGGGCTACTTCTTCCATAATGCTAGCAAAGCATCAGGGGATGTGTAGTCCACAACATCTGGAGTGCCAAAGATTGCCTTCCACTGATATAGAGGTTTAGTGAATATTTAGACTAAATCTTCAATACCTGTAGTGCATGTTCAGTTGACACACTCTAAATTCAGTCTTTTAACACATCTTTTCGTGAACTCAAGCATAAAAAAATGCTTAAAGGATCACTACAGGGTCAGAAACACAAACCTGTATTCCTGACCCTATAGTGTAAAACCACCATCTAGCCCCCCCTGGGCACCTCATGCCTCCATAAACATAGCAAAATCTTACTGTATTCAAGCCTGAAGCTATAACTCTGCATGCTGTTTGCCTCAGAAAAACAAGCAGTCTGCTGACATCATCAGAAGCGGTAGTCTGATCCAATCACAGTGCTTCCCCATAGGATTGGCTGAGACTAACAACGAGGCAGATCAGGGGCAGAGCCAGCATGATTCAGACACCGCTCTGGCCAATCCGCATCTCCTCATAGAGATGAATTGAATCAGTGAATCTCTATGAGGAAAGTTCAGTGTCTGCATACAGAGGGTGGAGACACTGAATGTTTGGATGCATTTTAGGCAGCCATGACCCAGGAAGGATCTCTAACAGCTATCTGAGGAGTGGCCAGTGAAGTTATCACTAGGCTGTAATGTAAACACTGCATTTTCTCTGAAAAGACAGAAAGACAGTGTTTACAGCAAAAAGCCTGAAGGTAATGATTCTACTCACCAGAACAAATTCAACTAGAAAAGCTACAATTTCTGGGGAAATTGTGTGAAGTGTTCTTGCCTCCACCAGTAGTCTACAACTGGAGTGGGCAGAGTAACTGTTATCATTTATATAGCACATTTAATTGCAACGTTGTTGCACAGTTACATTAAACCATACAATTATAAAAACATTAGCAGGTGTACAAAAGGCCCTGTCTATGACATCACTTGCTGCTGCAGCCTGGCACAGGTCAGAGTATTTTGGCGGTTGCCATCTTCAAACGGTCGTATTTTAAAAACTATAAATCCTACAGCAAAGAGCTTTATATTGTGAGAATCACAAGACCCAGACCTACATTTTGATGCATAGTATGTCTCTGCAATATTAACAATGAAGGCACATTCGCAGTTTAGACATTGCCCTTCAAATGTGAACTTTGCAGAGTGGAGTTTCAATGAATGTCAATGGACGGCGTGAGTTGCAAACAAATGGTCATATTGTGAAATCTATCAGGACTATGGCTTAGCATTTAACATTTCTAGTGGCAGCAGGGATAGCTGAACATTTTGATATAAGATTTGTGTAGGTGGGCTTGAAAATGAGGGAGTGGTGGCAGTTTAGAAATCATGTCCTGATTTTTCAGCTTTTGCCAGCTCCCACTCTAGCTTTGCCATTCATTCCTATGGGACATATTTCGCCACAAAAACGACGATATTCCGTGAACCATTCAGCGAAACGTTCCACAAAGTAATAGCAATCCGATCGGGAACAATCTGCACGTTTTGGTAAATTGTTGTCTATGTAGTGTAAAAACTGTGGGAGGAGTTAGGGTGGCAAATTTGGCTATAATAAGAATAATAATATATATGTGAGATAACAATAAGTGGTCTTGCTATGCAAGAACACTTAATAAGCTGTAGTTGTTCTAGTGACTATAGGGTCCCTTTAACCCCTTAAGGACCAAACTTCTGGAATAAAAGGGAATCATGACATGTCACACATGTCATGTGTCCTTAAGGGGTTAATGTTGTGTCACAGGTTCATTTTAACTCACCCCTCAATAGACAAAGATTATAACACTTATTGTAGAGATGAATTATATTTTTGTTTGTCACGTGCTGTAGCTGCTGTGTCAGCATGAGTCATCTAGCTAGTGGTCGGCTATGGATTTGTCTGGTAGAGAAAACATACTCCTGCTCTCTGGACATTAGATTCCATTAAGGGGTACATTTTGATTCATTTGGAGTACCATCCTGTTTTCAGCGATTGTATCCAGTGCTATGTCATCTGATGTGTGATCGTTACTCAGCAGATATGAAATGTTGATTGGAATAAAGGGGAGAAAATACATTTTCTTCAGTTCCTGTTTTGTGAGCTGGATCTGGGATTGGCATGAAGCAATGGAGCAAGCCAGATACATAGACTTTACATTTATTATATAGATAGATTCCGTTTTTTATAAATACGCTACATTGTGTAGTTGTTTAAAATTAACTGGAGTTTTTCTTTTACTTTCAGAAGAAGTTGAAGACTGTAAAAGTGGAAGTATTGACCCAATAGCTACTGGGGTATTGTATTTTTACTTATTTGATTTGAACTGTTTTTATTTTAAGATGTATCTGACACGGACTACTAATGTTGTACATGTGCGCAGTTGGTTTTGTTTTGTATTTGCAGTACAATAAATATACTGTCAAAAATAAAAATGTGCTTGTTTATCTGCCATATCTGCTCCTAATCTTCATCTAGTTGATAACTAAAGGATTTTATGTCCATGACACCATAGAAAACCCTAGTATGCTGAACCAAATTCTTCACGTTAAAAACTTGAAAAAGGACAAAACTTTGCTACACTGCTGCTTTCTGCTTTAAAACTTAATAAAACTACATTGTAGTTGTTCTACACTGCTGTACTATAATGTTAGTTTTATTGTAATATGTTGTAGTGATCCTAAAGGTCTATACAGCATCCATGTTAATTGTGTACACTAGCCATATTCTTAGGATGTCTGGTGTGGACAGCTTGGTTGAGGTCATTCTACTGCATGTGTACGGTGTTAAGGTATAGGCTCTGAATGGGCCACTCCACAAGTCGGATTTTTATTTTTTAAGCCATTCTGTAGTGGATTTACTTCAATGTTTGGCATAATTGTCCGGCTGGATCACCTAACTTCTACTGAGCTTCAGCTGGCACACAGTCACTCTGATTTTATATTGTAGGTTATCTCGATGAATTTGGGAGTTAATTTTTTTCTTTATGATGGCAAGTGGTCCAGACCCCAAAGCAGCAATACAGCCCAACATCATGATGCTCTTTCACCTGTACTTAACTCCTTAAGGACACATGATGGAAATATTCCGTCATGATTCCCTTTTATTCCAGAAGTTGTCTTTAAGGGGTTAACTGTTGGGATGATGTTTTCATGTTGGTATGCAGTGCCCTTTTAAGCTATACATAGTGCTGCGTGTTTTTTTGCAAGCAAGCCTTAGTTTCATTAATCTACAAAACATTTTCGGAGTAGCATTGTGGAGGCTGTCTCTGGCAAACTTCAGGTGCGCAGCAATGATTTCTTTTTGGGGGGAAGCAATCATTTTACGACAGGAGAAATAATTAAGTTCAGTTTGATTAAACCACTTTTGTTCATTGTGTTGAGCTATTTATTTTGCTTTTGTTTGATTTGTTCACTGCAGACAGCTGAAAGTCTGTAAATTTAGAAAATAAACCTGATTTTAAATTACGGTTGATTATATTTGATTACAACTGTAGTTGACCCATTAGTTGTAAAGGAATACATAAACATATATTTGACGTTCTACTTTTGTTTGGTTAATCACTTTTTCGCAGAAGGGTTCGGTATTTGTGCAGTGCCGGGCAGGAAGACAAATTGCTTTCATGTTTTCCTTATTTGTACAAAGTAGTCGCTGCTTTGTCTCAGTATATCTTTTGATTGGGTTGAAATTTCAGTAAAATTCAATCACCGTTAATGTGAGTATTTCATAAATATTTTATAGTTCTTAAATACTTGTTTTGGATATGGGGTATGACATTTTTAGTTAAATATATGATGTGATTTTTTTTAAAAACTTATTTAGCCTTCAGCTTTGTATGCTCTACATCAAAGAATGCAGACTATAATAATAATTCTTAATAATATTTTTTTTTCCGTCTCTTAGGGCCACTTCTAATCTGTAACCCCAGGAGTTGGTGAAAAGAAGAGATCAGCAAGCCATGTTTTTTTTTGTGTCTGCGTATATTTTAAATTTAAATGCAGTTACTGTGGTGTAAAGAATTAACAACTAGATGACGAGCTGTACAGATGTCTTTTTGTTTTTTGGAAATTGGCAGTGGCTTTTTCCTCATTTTGGTTAAGGAATTTAAGACACTGGATAGTGTGAAACAAATTTCAAACCTGTATCATAGACCATTAAGATGGACACTCTTAAAATTCAGAGATCTTTATATTTATAAACCCCTTGCTCCAGTAAAATGTGTAGCTCTGTGCGTAGGCTATCTGCCTCTGAATGAATAGGTTTTGTTTTGGTTTTTTTTTTTATCCTTGTAAAATAATTTTATACTTCCATGTATCTTTTAATGAAGGCTGATTGAGGTTTGTTTTGAGCATCAATGCATTTTGTGCGTAAAGATTATGAAATGCAGAGTGTCTGTTTACAGTTAAGTAAAGATTTAACGATTTTATGTACAAAGGGAAACCACTAACTGGTTTTTTTCCAATTAAATCTCCATGAGTAATTATCAAAAGTATAGTGTTTTTGTTTACTTTCGGTTTAATGGAAACTTGTCACATACACTGGCAAGACAGTTTGTGAACCTATTGGAATTGATTTTCTGCAAGCATTGGTTATAAACTGTCCTCATCTCTATCAAAGTCACAAGTACAGACAAACACAAAGCTAACAATATACAATTATAATCTTTCATGTCTTTATTGAACACATTTTGGATTTAGTAGATAATTGCTCCTTCTTTCGTAGCAACACCTCAACTAAGCATTTCTGGTAGCTGCAGATTAGACTGCACAAAATTCAGGAGGTTTTTGAAACAACTCTTCCTTACAGAACTGCTTCAGCTCGGTCATATACTTAGGATGTCTGGTATGGACAGTTCCATTGAGGTCATTACACAGCAGCTCTATTGTTTAAAATATGTCTAGGCTCTGACTGGGCCGCTCAACAATGCAGATTTTTTTTAATTTTTTTAAAAGCCATTCTGCAGTAGATTTGTTTAATATAGTTGTCCTGCTGTTGTCACCCAACTAATACAGAGCTTCAGCTGGCACACAGTCACCCTGATATTTTGTAGAATATTTCAATAAAGTTGGGAGTTAATTTTTCCCTCTATGATGGCAAGCAGCCCAAAATCATGATGCTCCTTCACATGTATCTAACTGTTGGGATGATGTTTACATGTTGGTAGACAATGCCCCTTTTAATTCATATGTAGTACTCGTAGTTTCTTGCAAACAAACAGTAGTTCATCATTTTCCTAGTAGCATTGTGGAGGTTTTTTGGCAAACTTAAGGTGCGCAGCAGTGTTTTTTTTTTTTTTAAAGCAGCCTGTTTCTTCGTGGTGCCCTGCCATGAGCACCATGCCTATTAAATGTTTTTCACATAGTAGACTCATGAACAGATTTTAACCAGTTCCTACCAAGTCCTTAGCTGTCACTCGATTTTTTTTTTTTTTTACCTAATTGAGAATTGGATGACCACCTTCTTTTGCTGGCCCCAAAATCCTCAGGAGACTGGCGTCCAATCCTAGACCCTTCAAACAATCAGAATGGAATATTTATTGTCGATAATTTCAGTAGTGCATCCAGGAGCCTGGATGATCTCTATAGATCTGAAGGACGTTACTTTCATATCCCCATTGCAGAACACTTTCAAAGATTTCTGAGAGTCACAGTTCTGAGACCATTTCCAATTCAGAGCAATTCATTGGTCCTTTGGTGTAAGCACTGCTCCTAAAACTTTCTTGAAAGTCCTGTTTGCGGAACTGAGATTACAATTCCTAAACATCCATCACTATCTGTACATTCTTAGTAGGAGAGTCAAAAGAAAGCCTTATATATCAGAGGGACAAGGCAATACTTGCATGGGAAAGATTTTGATGGGTCATAAATGATCAAGAGCCAGCTGATTCCATCCCAAAGCATTTGATTCCTAGGTACATACTGTATTAGGAATGGTCTTTCAAAAGAAAAATTAGAATGTATTCTGATGAAGTTATAAGAAGTATCAAAGAGATCCATTATAGCAGAGATGTATATTGTGAAAATCTGAACAATAACATTTCAAACCCTAGAAACTTTTAGAAAGTCATACATGACTTACAAACTCCCCCAATCCACTCACAACCCTTCAGTGTGGGGAGTTTGTAAGTAATTTACTGCAACTTTTCTTAGATGTAGCAACTGCCTTTAACATTATTTTGTCAGATGCTCCACCACCATGATTGCCAAGCTAATAAATTACACTACAAATGTGGATTAGGCCCCACTAAATTTGCAAAGACCCAATATAGACAAGTTACATTTTAGACCTGTACCTATTGCTGTCATTAAGAAACAACTTAATAATCTAAAAATGAAAAAACAGTCTGGACCTGATCAAATCCCAGCAATGCTGTTGAAGCATAGTGCGCCAGCAATTGCTAAACCTGTCACAACCCTAATAACGAATCCTTGGTGTTAGCATAAATACCCAAACTTTGAAAGACTGCGAGAGTAGTGCCTATCCATAAAAGTGGTGACACTATTTTGGTTACATAGAAACATAGAATGTGACGGCAGATAAGAACCATTCGGCCCATCTAGTCTGCCCAATATTTTGAAATACTTTTAATTAGTCCCTGGCCTTATCTTAAGTCTAGTGTAGCCTTATGCCCATCCCACGCATGCTTAAACTCCCTCATTGTGTTAACCTCTACCACTTCAGCTGGAAGGCTATTCCATGCATCCACTACCCTCTCAGTAAAGTAAAACGTCCTGATATTTTTAAACCTTTGCCCCTCCAATTTAAGACTGTCCTCTTGTTGTGGTAGTTTTTTTCTTTTAACCCCCTTAAGGACCAAACTTCTGGAATAAAAGGGAATCATGACATGTCTCACATGTCATGTGTCCTCAAGGGGTTAAATATAGTCTCCTCCTTTAGTGTGTTGATTCCCTTTATGTATTGAAATGTTTGTCATATCCCCCGTCTCGTCTTTCCTCCAAGCTACACATGTTAAGATCCTGGTGAGTTTTATCCTGCAATCCATGAACCAGTTTAGTAGCCCTTCTCTGAACCCTCTCTAAGGTATCAATATCCTTCTGAAGATACGGTCTCCAGTACTGTGTACAATACTCCAAGTGAGGTCTCATCAGTGTTCTGTACAATGGCATGAGCACTTCTCTCTTTCTACTGCTAATACCTCCCTATACAACCAAGCATTTTGATAGCATTTTCAGATGCTCTATTAAATTGTCTTCCTACCTTTTCTAACTATCCTACCTGATTTCTAATTATCGCCCAATATCATTGCTTCCAGTATTGGCACAAATTTAAGAAAAATGCGTCCATATGCAACTGTAAATATCACCAACAATCTGACCTCTGATCAATCAGGTTGTTGCCCAAATCACTCCACTACAACTGCCCTCTTAAAAGTTGACAATGACATGCAAACTGGGAGACCTAAGTGGAGACCTAACTGGATCTATTCTCCTTGATTTTGCAAAGGCTTTTGACACAGAAGACCAAAACATTCTATTGTACAAACTAAAAAATTCAGGTATTGGTGATCGGCCACTAACCTTGTTTTGATCTTCTGAATCGGATCGATCACGATATGTATTCGTTTTAGACAGCAACTCCTAAACCCTCCCAGTCACATCTGGTGTTTCCCATGGTTCCATTCTCTGCCCCGTACACATTTTTTATAAATGAACTGCCTGTTTGCAAATTTTTAAATGTACAAACGTATGTAGAAGAGAGTAATCTATGCAAGCAAATCCAGTCTACCACAGCTTGAAGTTGTGCTGCAAGTCCAATTCCCAGAGGTGGTAAAGTGGATCACAAAAAACTAACTCTTCCGAAACACTCAAAACTGTCACAATGATCTTTGGATCACTACCCAAATTACAAAATTCCTGTCTATGCGTTAAAACAAATTCAAATAGCACACTGACCGCTGTCCACTCTTTCAAATACTTGGGTATGTTGTTAGACCCTAATCTATCTTTTGGCCTCCACATAGAAAAACTTGCATCTAAACTTTATCCAAAACTAAGTGCCCTGTACAGAAACAAATCCTGCCTATGCCCTACAGTAAAAGAAAAGATAGTACAGCAAATGCTGATGCCAATCATTGATTATGGGGATGTAGTATATGCACCTGCACTGCAAACCCACCTTAATAAATGTAATACATTGTATAACTCGTTCGGCCTGTCTGTTCTACAATGTAATTACATGACCTACCATTGTGACATGCTAAAAGAACTAAACTGACTGTCACTGGAATCCAGACGCACCTTTCATCTTTCCAGCTTTTCCCATCCTACCTATGCAGAACGCTCTCCCCGGCTGTTCCCACCTCCTATAACCGCCGATCCAGTACCAGCACTTTATTTAGTCTACCTCAATACAAAAAGAAAGCGGCTCAATCATCCTTTTCCTACAGAGCACCGCAATTATGGAACGACCTCCCGCTCTCTTTCAAATCTTCCCCTGGACTAAAATCCTTTAAGAAATCCCTCTCTACATATCTCAAAAGAGAATGCACCTATCATGGTTGATTATATATTTTTTACTTGTTGTATGTTACATTTTGTATATATTGTGTATTAATATTGTTTTTGTATTTTATTGTATCAAGGTAATAATTTGTGGACCCAGGACATACTTAAAAACGAGAGAAATGTATCCTTCCTGGTAAAATATTTTATAAATAAATAATTCTCTATCCATTAAATGTACAGCCCGGCCACTCTAAGGACCTGTATACATTTACTTACGTCTATTATCATTTACACACTGTGTGTTGGGTCACTTAGAAATTGTTTCAATCACATTTGGACAGAAAAAAAATCAGAAATTTGTGCTTTATCAGTGGAACAACCTTATACCGTATTTTATACAGATGAAGTCGTTCTTTCCAGAATTTCGTCCAAAGGTAATTTGAAGTTTACATCTAAATGAGATAATCTTGCCCATTTTCAGTCTTCCAATAATCTGGAAGAAGAAAGATGGCACACCCTGGATGTACCCAGATGACTCATTTTATCTGTCCAAAAAAAGCAAGTTTTTCCTAAATTTTGCTGGGAATAACAGGGGCCTCTTTGCGTCAAAGTTCTCCTTTAAAATTAATTTAGTATGACACAGCACACAAGTTAATGAGCCATTGTCTCAGAAGAGTGTGGGACGTGTCTGGGTTGGGTTCCGCGTGTCTGTAGTCTAAAATTAACTAAAGCAGGGAATGTATGAAATTACTTTTGGCCTCCTGGAGCCTGATCTATCATAAGAACATGTAAGTAGTTGGAGGTATTTGAACAAATAACTACAGTGCATTGTCCAAATTAATTTATTAAGCAAATTATGATGTGCACACAAACAGATGACCAATATCTGAAATTGCTGTAAAAATTAATTTCTCTAGTAATTACCAAACAAAAAATTAAGTTCTAAAGAAACCTGCGTAAAACAAACATTGACTACAATATTATATCATTGTAGATTTGGAACCATATCTTACTGAAGTCAAGCATAAGTAATTAGTAAATCAAACACAAAAGAGTATTTTAAAAACACTGTGTACTAAAGAACCAGTTATGCAGTTTCCCTTCAATCCTTAGCAAAATTCATCTTATGAGAAAGTCAGCACACCATTCTAATGACAAAAAATATGTGGTTCGTTCCATCTTTGCAGGTTGCAGTTCATCAGTTCCAAAATACCTTTATCAACTAATCAATATATCATTTTTTACATACAACATAGAAAATGTCAACTATATGGCAGACCTTAATCTGAGGCAATCAATTTTTGGTTTTGGCTATCTATATATTCCACTCCTTACTTTCCATGTTGCAAGATGAGTGTAAGGAGCAGAACTCAATAATAACAGCACTCGTTATGCATGTTCTGCTCTCATCCACTAACAGCCCAGCCCTGGTTAAGTTGGTTACACATTATTAGAGGGATACAGAGTTTGTGTCATATATTTCTCTTTGATAGCACAGCTCTATGAGAAGTTCTATCTAAACATATTTTGCTCTACTGGCCCTCTTTGCCACAATCCACTGACTTAAATCACACTTTAGTTATCTGAAGTGCAGTATTGTATAGGATTAGTACACTCTATTCGTACTCTTGAAAACAAAACGCTATCCTGTTTTTGGATACTTTACTGCAACAGGTTGGAGATTTAAGCTAATAGCATGAGCTTGCAGCCCAGATGATATACTAAGATTAAGAGTTCTGATTCAGATTGAATTTACTGCGTAGCACACAGGACCATCTTTATGTATGAGCACACTGGGCAGTTGCCCGACGGCCTCACAAGGATAGGGGTCACATTGCGATACCCGTGGGCCGAAGCCAACAGGGAAGATCCTTTCATCTTCCCTGCCAGCTCAAGCTGTCTGCCTCCTAGGGCCGGTGGGGAGATTAAAGATGTCCCTCACCGGCCTTTTGGCACTTCCTTAGGGGAGAGGGATGGAATGTTCCTTTACCAGGGCAACACTCCGTCACAGTGCTCATTTTGAAGGAGAAGTAAAGTTGGCCTGCAGGATAAAGTTCATGCGCCACCACCCATTGCAGTCAATGCCTCCCCCTCCCTGGCAAAAAGTAGTAAGGATGGGGGGAGGACACAAAGCTCTTTATTTTTTAAATAAAAAAAATATACATTTGCTCCCTTATCACTGTCAACACAATATAGAGCAGTTGTGCCCAAAAGGTAGATCCCCCAGATGTTTTAAAACTACTATGTACCTCTCACATGCACACACACAAACATACTGCACCCCTTACACACACTGTACCCCACGCACACTGCGTTTATACACATAGCACCCCTCGCTCACTGCAGTCTTTGTGCATTCAGTGTGTTGCATTTGTTGGAGGTACCAATAATTATAAGCTTATTTTGTATCAATAATTTGCACTTTTATTCCTGTGAGTGGTTACGTAGGCAGGGCCCCAGTGCACTACTTTTCCCAGGGGCCTATCATGCTGTTAATAAGGACCTGGTAGCACAGCCTTGTTTTTAACTAAAATTGGTACAGGGATCGCAGTAACGATTTTCCAATATTGGTTACGCAAAAACTTCTTTCTAATTGTGTGCAATACGTGACTGTTTGCAACTGTGTCAGTTGATAAACTTCAAAGCCTTATAGGAGATGAATTAGTACA